GCCCTACTACCTGCCTGGCAGCGCGCGTGTACGACCTACGACACAGGCCCCTCTACCCAGCTGACAGCAGGCATGCCATGCCCTACAACTCAGTTCTGCGGTATCTGACAACACGCACACACTGACCTGTTTTCCATCTGACTGACGGATCTCAGCGGGGCCATTCAGGCCCAAAAGAAAAGCCCGCCCTGACCAGGCTAAGGCTAGGCTAGGCCTTGGCAGGACCTTGTCGGCGCAAACAACGCCAGCCCATCAGCTATCGACCACGGTGATGTCCTTGAGGGCCACTATCCAAGATGCAGGGAAAAGCGAAGCGCAAGTTGGGCAAAGCGCAAGCGTCCCAGTATCACCGTAGGCCGCCGCCTCGAAGGGATCCACCGCCGCATCTACACCACTTTGGAATGAACTGCGATGCGAGGTCGGTCGCTGCCGCCAGAGGCAGACGGGTTCTGGCTGGCCTCCCTCCTGCAACGGCGGGAAACTCATGTGCCATGCTCGGTGTCCCCGCCGACTGCGAAGGAGCTGGGGCTTACCGGGGATCTTGGGCTGGTCGAAAACCCAAGAGTGAGAGGTGGACTCGGCCCACGCATGTACTTTGGCTGGGACTCTCCACGGTTCCACCCCCTGCCGTGTCTCCTGCACGTACTTGTAGGCCTCTTCGAAGGGAACCCGGCGAAACTGCGCGAGAAAGGTGGCCATTAAGATGGGAGAGCGGTGTTTGCCTGCCACACAGTGAACCAAAACAGACTCGCCGTTGGCCAAGGTGGAACGGATTGTGTGCAGGGCTGCCTTCCAAGCGGCCGCCCGTTCTCGCCCCTGATGGCTTACCGTGACCTTGATGGCGTGAACCTGGCTGGGCACGGTGTCGGCAAGTCTGTCCATGGCACTGACGAAGAGGCGAACTCGGTGCTGGCGTAGAGCAGGGTCGTTGGAAGCAGGCATGCCTCCCAACAGGAGAACCGCCTCCACAACAGAGTCCTCTGAGAGCAGCGTTCCAGGCGTCGACGTGATGGCATAGCAAACCGTGGCCGGCACTACATCTTCACGACGGCCTGCCAGTGCGTCGAACGCCTTGTCAAGGTCCTGACTGGACCCGCGCCTGACTGGCGCTGCTTCTGCCGGAGCCTCCGGCGGGCCGCGCGGACTGCCCGGCCCTTGCTTGAGAACCACGTTGACCGCCTGGCTGGCTGGCTTCTGGGGCGCCCGCTTGGTCAGGGGCCTAGACTTCTGCTTGGCCATCTTTTTGGCGGTCGTGGCCGGCGCGACGGGCCTGTGCTGGTAGTCACGCATTTCCTGACTGGAGACTCGCTGGCCGGTGACTCCGGCAGGCTCAGCCGGGCGACTCCCGGTTAGAGCACGTCGTCCTCTTCTTGGCGCCAGCCATGACGCCTTTACCGCCACGGAGAGCAACGGGGAAGATGTGAACTGAGGGTCGCGCCACTGCAGCGTTTGGTCCTTGCCCTGGGCCTCCCGCAACGAAGCAGCAAACACCTGCGGATAGCCGGTTGCCTGAAGCTCCTCCCATGTCTCAGCTTCAGTGCTCAGGAGGGTGTTGTGCATAGCCAGCTTCAAGTGGATTTCGCGCATCGCCCTTGCCGCATCGTACCGAAAGGGGGTGCTCTTAACCTTACCGGCATCCTGCCACCCCCCAAGCGCGAGCCTGTCAGGCTCTCCCAGCTCGGCCATCCCGGCCGCCGTGGCATTGACTCTACGTAGGCTGTAGGTGACCAACTGCTCCGGCTTGTTCAGCATGGCATGCAACACCGCGCGGAGCCTCATCTGGAAGGCGTGGACCCCAATCTTGCCAGAGGGCATTGCCACCAGTGCAAAGTTCATGACGTTATCCTGGCGGACCTTAGCTCGGGACTTCTGGAACACTACGGCCAGGTCAACCCCATGCGAGGTGTAGCGGGGCAGGCTCCATCGGAAGCCGTTGCGCTGGCCGATGGTCTTGCCCTTGGAACACCAGAAGTTTAGGACCGAGCCGCTGAAGCTAACCAGCCTGGATCGCTGAAGGTGTCGGAACCTGACGCAGCCAAAGACCATGGCATAGGCACCGAAGAGCACTGCCCAATCAGGCGTGGTTGGGTCCTCGGCCCCCAAATACGTATCCAAGGAACGGATGAGCAAGGGGACAAGCACGGCCGCCTGCCGCGCACCCTGCCCATACCTGTCGCCCTTGGCCTTGGGCCTGGGGAGCAAGCCAAGGTCCCAGTCCACCTCCAAGTTCTTGCGGATCCACCGCAAGGCCACCGCCGCTCGCTTAGGCCCCTGGCTGCTCCTTGTGAAAGACGGAAAGTGGTGAGCAGACAAGCCAAGGGGCGACTCCCCAAGGCCAGCTGCCCACATTCGCAGCTCATCGTAAGTTCGCAGTGCTCTTCGCAAAGTGGGCGGTTCCGTTCGCTCCAAGAGGGCCTTGCAAAGTTCTTGCAGGTTGGCCCTCTGCTCGCCCTTTGGTAAGGACAAGGTAGAGGAGGGCCTGTGCCTCGACAAGGCCAAGAACATGGCAAAGGTGCGGTTGCTCATGTCTTCCACCTCCCCAGTAGTTGCCTCCCGCTCCACCTCCTGTGACCGAAGAGGCTTGCCAACTTCACGCTCCCGTGCTCGTCGTCGCGGGCTCCTGGAACGTTGGGGCCTCGAGGGCTGAGACCGCTCAGCCCGACTGGCTGCGGCAGCCTGACTGGCCATCTGCTGAGTAACCAAAGCATCTTCGACCATGACCATCCGTCTGCCCACTCCAGGCATCATGGCCTCTGCTCTAGCTCTGGCTGCCTGCCAGGCTTCTGCTACAGGGCGACCCCCTTCTTGCAGAGCGGTGGCATAGTTGTCGAAGAAGAACGCCAGGTCGGATTCATCCTCGAGCCCATTGCTTTGCATCCAGGTATCCAGCGCCAGAGCCTCCTGTCTGGCCACGTCCAAACGTCTGAGGTCCATGGCTCGAAGGATGCAGCCTGACTGGCAGAAAGGTGGGGCCTACAACAGGTAGGCAACCTGAAGAAAAAGGAAGCCCCTCCAGGCTTCCTTTCTACTAGCACCCTCCTGGTGCTCCTGACTGTGTGCCCGCCTGGCACACTCAGATCTGTGAGCCCGGACAGCCACAGCGAAGTTATGCTTTTCATACAATAGCACCTCACCAACCTGCCCAAGCCGTAAAGGTACCAAAATTCGATGCCTCACGCGGTAGAGTTGAGGGTTCCGTTTTGGCCCTGATCGAAAGAGTGTAGGTATGGGTATGGGTCCGGAGTTGTGGGCGGGTTTGGGGCGAAAGTCTCGGGCGGGCAATGCTCAACTCTTCATTGATTGTTCGCTTAAGAAACCCTCCAAGAAATGCATAACAACCTTTCTGAAAGATAGCTACACAAACAATACAATGATGGCTGTGCTTTGGCTTCTTTTCTAAGCTAATCATGCTCTCCTTTTTGTTGGGGTGGGGGGGGGGGTGGGGGGTGCCCTGTCCGCGATTTGTCAAACCTGTTTTGAAGCGAAGTCGTCTGACACAGCTGTGGGGCGACACAACTTTGCGGGGTTCGGATCGGGAGTTTTGGGCGAGCAATAGGCTCAATAGGCAGGCTTCGGTTTTTGCAATTAGTCGGGACTCTAGCACCCCCTAATGTCATCCCTAGTAAGGACTGTTAGCATAATTAAGGCGGTATATCTTAAACTGAGAGTAATATGCAGTGACAGCATTGTGATGATGAAGAGCGTTTGTCGCACTAGAACCATCGCATCATTTTGAGTCATGCCGCCGCTCGAATTCCAGGGTTGGTACTTGAAAAGCTCAAGATATATGGGGGTTTACGAAAATAAGGGACCCCGAATATACACCCCCAAAAAGTATGATTCCCTTATCATAAGGACCCCAATACGGTAGCCCTAGTTCCGGAAACCCCCATATACCGTAGCAGGTACATATGACAGCCCCAAACCCCGGTGTTATGAGTGTTTTTCGTCTCAGATCGTTAAAACCTGCATCTCAAGTACGTGTACAGCTTATCTCGGTTCTGGGTTTTGGGGGTGTTGGGTATTTTCGGGTTGAGGTACAGCTTGGAGAACTCGGGAAAACAAGTTCCCACGAAGTTCTGGATGTCTGGGGTTTAGGGTTTAGGGTTTAGGGTTTAGCGTTTAGGGTTTAGGGTTTAGGGCTTAGGGCTTCGGGCTTAGGGTTTAGCTTAGGGGTCGGAGTCGAAATCTTCGGACCCCCCAACCCCACCCCACAAGCCCGCAAACCGTAAAACCTTACCTCCGCGTCCCCCCCCCCCTCAACCCCTATCTACTATTTGCTTAAGAACCCCAAAGGAATAAAAAACAATCACCCCTGTATTACCCTTAATAGGGAAAGAACGACAAAAAAATCTTTCGGGGTTCTTCAGCAATTAGTACCCAAAGGCTCCTATGTAGTACCTCTTTTCGGGTAGTATACTAAAATCCAATCTAACTAACCCAAAAAGGAACTACATCAGAGCCTTCAGGTAGCTATAAGCCTCCAGCTGCCACACAAAAGCCCTAACAACCCTAAACGCCCACAAAACCCCTAAAAACCCATAGGTCCCCAAAAGCCTTTAAAACCCCAAACGCCCTCAAAAACCTCAAAAGCCACCCCCCCCCCCCCCCCCCAAAAAAAAAAAAAAAACCCAAAAAAAGCCCTAAAAAGAACCTAAGAACGCTAAAAAACCCATCAAGACCCTACAAACCCTAAAACCCTAAACACCCTACAAATCCTCAACAACCCTCAATAACCTTGAACCAAAAAATTGTCAAAAATCCTAAGCCCTAAAAACCTTAAAAACCCTCAAAACCCTAAACACCCTAAAAACCCTCAACAACTCTAAAACAACCCAGAAAACCCCAAAAACTCCTAAACCCCACAAACCTCAAAAACCCTCAAAACCATCAAACCCCTGGAAAAAAAAAAAAAAACCCTCAAACAAACCCAACGAAGTCCTAAACCCTACACACCCTGAACCCTAAACCCTAAACACTAAACCCTAAACCCTAGTGTCCTGCAGCTGCCGCAGTTCCTCCGCATTGGGCAGCAGGGAGGCCTCAGTGGAGGATTTCTGTGACCCGACGTTCAGGGACTGGGGGTTTAGGGTTTAGGGTTTAGGGTTTGGGGTTTGGGGTTTGGGGTTTAGGGTTTGGGGTTTAGGGTTTTGGGGTTTGGGGTTTAGGGTTTTGGGGTTTGGGGTTTGGGGTTTAGGGTTTGGGGTTTAGGGTTTCGAGGATCCTCACATGAACTGCCACTGATGACTTTGACAGAGAAACTGTTTGGGGTTAGGGTCGAGGGCTTAGGGGGGGGTTTTAGGGTTGAGGGTTGCAAGCTTCAGGGTCTACGGTTGAGGGTTTGGGTTCAACCCTAAACCCCAATACCCCAACCCTCCGTAAACCCTAAACCCTAAACCCTAAACCCTAAACCCTAAACCCTAAACCCTAAACCCTAAACCCTAAACCCTAAACCCTAAACCCTAAACCCTAAACCCTAAACCCTAAATCCTAAATCCTAACCCTAAGCCCTAAGCCCTAAGCCCTAAGCCCTAAGCCCTAAGCCCTAAGCCCTAAGCCCTAAACCCTAAACTTTAAACCCTAAACCCTAAACCCTGTCAGGTTGGGTCTCAGGGTTTCGTGTGCCTACACCGAAACAAGGACAACAAGGACCTCTGCGAGGATATCCTTCGTTTCCGGGGTTCAGGGTTCAGGGTTTAGGGTTGAGGGTTTAGGGCTTGGGGCAAAAAACCTCTGAGATCATGCCACCCAGGCCCGATCAAGCACTTTCACAACATGTCCAGGTCGACATTTGCAGATACATCTTGGGATGCTAACCCTTATGCTAACAGTCCTGAATGGGGATGATCATAGTACCCCCTAAACCCTAAACCCCAAACCCCAAACCCTAAACCCTAAACCCCGCATTAGAATCCCTATTACGGGCTGTTAGCATAAGGGGGAACATACCAAGACATGCCTGCCAAGCCTGCCTCTGCGAATTACAGTAAAACCACTGTATAAGAAACCACTGTTTAAGAAACTGAGCCCCTAGACCCGGGAATATTGGTCTCTTTGCGGTTGCCTTCTAGCTAAGAAACTTAGGGTACCCTAGTGTTTTGGGGTCAGTTTCTAAAGAATCCTGCCCGGAACACCCCCCAGGTCTGCCCCAAAAACATGCGGGAGTCACATTCTAGAGGTTTTCAGCCCTGAAAGGCTCTAAAACGTGACTCCCCCACGCCTCTGGCCTGACCCTACCCCAAAAACGCGCGGGAGTCACATTCTAGAGGTTTTCAGCCCTGAAAAGCTCTAAAACGTGACTCCCCCACGCCTCTGGCCTGACCCTACCCCAAAAACGCGCGGGAGTCACATTCTAGAGGTTTTCAGCCCTGAAAAGCTCTAAAACGTGACTCCCCCGCGCCTCTGGCCTGACCCTACCCCAAAAACGCGCGGGAGTCACATTCTAGAGGTTTTCAGCCCTGAAAGGCTCTAAAACGTGACTCCCCCACGCCTCTGGCCTGACCCTACCCCAAAAACGCGCGGGAGTCACATTTTAGAGGTTTTCAGCCCTGAAAAGCTCTAAAACGTGACTCCCCCGCGCCTCTGGCCTGACCCTACCCCAAAAACGCGCGGGAGTCACATTCTAAAGGATTTCAGCCCTGAAAAGCTCTAAAACGTGAATCCCCCGCGCCTCTGGCCTGACCCTACCCCAAAAACGCGCGGGAGTCACATTCTAGAGGTTTTCAGCCCTGAAAAGCTCTAAAACGTGACTCCCCCGCACCTCTGGCCTGACCCTACCCCAAAAACGCGCGGGAGTCACATTCTAGAGGTTTTCAGCCCTGAAAAGCTCTAAAACGTGACTCCCCCGCGCCTCTGGCCTGACCCTACCCCAAGAACGCGCGGGAGTCACATTCTAGAGGTTTTCAGCCCTGTAAAGCTCTAAAAAGTGACTCCCCCGCGCCTCTGGCCTGACCCTACCCCAAAAACGCGCGGGAGTCACATTCTAGAGGTTTTCAGCCCTGAAAAGCTCTAAAACGTGACTCCCCCGCCTCTGGCCTGACCCTACCCCAAAAACGCGCGGGAGTCACATTCTAGAGGTTTTCAGCCCTGAAAGCTCTAAAACGTGACTCCCCCGCGCCTCTGGCCTGACCCTACCCCAAAAACGCGCGGGAGTCACATTCTAGAGGTTTTCAGCCCTGAAAAGCTCTAAAACGTGACTCTCCCGCGCCTCTGGCCTGACCCTACCCCAAAAACGCGCGGGAGTCACATTCTAGAGGTTTTCATCCCTGAAAAGCTCTAAAACGTGACTCCCCCGCGCCTCTGGCCTGACCCTTCCCCAAAAACGCGCGGGAGTCACATTCTAGAGGTTTTCAGCCCTGCTCTAAAACGTGACTCCCCCGCGCCTCTGGCCTGACCCTACCCCAAAAACGCCGCGGGAGTCACATTCGCGAACCCTTCCCACCGCCATTCCTGGAACATGGGTTTGGTCTAGTGGTATAGCGTACTCCCTTAAGAAATTAGTTTAGAAACCAAGCCTACCCTAGGCTCAAACCCCCGCGGGTACATGGGTAATGGAAACTAAGAAACTTAGGGTACCCTATCGCCGGAAAACCGTTTTCTTATACAGCGTTTTTACTGTATGCAACGGTAGCCCAGTAACCACATTAGAAGAAGGGCAGCCTTTTGTGGGGTTGGTTACTTTAGAAGGCAACCGTGAACAAGAAAAAGGCAAAGAGGGTTCCACGGGGCTACCAAGCCCTAACCCTAAGCCCCAACTGGTATGCAGTTGACAGGCCCAGAAACAACCCTAAACCCTGAACCCTGAACCCTAAACCCTAAAACAGGTGGCTGAGGCACAAGCGCACTGAACATTCTCAGGGTGGTTTCATGGTCAACTGGTATCCCTAGACCCTAAACCCCAAAACCTAAACCCCTTATGTATACCTGTTACAGCCCCAAGGGCCCATACTTCAGAACCCTTTAAAAGAATGTAACGGAATTAAGGTACCATATAAGACTACCCTTCGAACACACGGGCAGGTTCAGAGTTTCAGGTTTTGAGGGTTTAGGGTTGTTTAGGGTTGTTTAGGGTTTAGGGTTTAGGGTTTAGGGTTTAGGGTTTAGGGTTTAGGATTTAGGGTTTAGGCTTGAGTGGAATTAGGGTTTAGGGTTGTTTAGGCCATAAGGGCCCGGATGTAGAGGATCAAGTTGCAAGGGGAAGGTATTGGTACCCCTGGGACTCTTGTAGAGGCTAATAACTGTAGCCCTCCCCAATCCCCCCCCCCCCCAAAAAAAAAAAAAAACAACAACAACCAAACACTTCCAAAAACAAAAACAGAACCGGAAACTTCAAAATCCCTAAACCCTAAACCCTAAACCCAAAACCCCAAACCCTAAACTTCCAAGCCCTAAATCACTCGACTGCACGAGCCCCGCCGCCCGCCGTACGCTGGCGCGCCGTTTCCCTCCACCGCCACCAGCCACACCAAAGAGCTTCTCCAACAAACTGAAGCAGGGCTTGTTTAGGGTTTAGGGTTTAGGGTTTAGGGTTTAGGGTTTAGGGTTTAGGGTTTAGGGTTTAGGGTTTAGGGTTTAGGGTTTAGGGTTTAGGGAACCCTACCCTGAGGGCCAATTTGCAGTACCATCACGGAGCTAGGCGCCCAGAAACCAGACTCGATAGCGTCCTTGGGAATTCCATCATAGTACTACACTTGGACCGATCAAGTTCTGGCTTCAGGGTTGCGATCTTTGACATTGCAGCCTGCGGCCATCCAGAGGGGGTCTAACAAGCTTAGGGCTTTCGGGTTTAGGGTTTCGGGTTTGGGATTTAGGGTCTAGGGTTTCAGGTTTAGGATGTAGGGTTTAGGGCTTCGGGCTTAGGGTGTAGGGTGTCCCTTGCGGACGTGATCAACAAGCACAATCCGGATCAAGGGCCTTCCGAACATGTCCAGAGAGTGCTAAAAGCTGCAACTTCTTCTTCCAAACGCTTCAAAAGTGACCTACTGGGCTGCTCTCATGGGGTGCTTAAGTGAGAGGGGGGGGTTCCTGAGGGGGTAGGTACCTAGGAAATGTTAGGGAACCTTCCACACTAGGGAGCCTTCTGAAACCCGAAAGCCCTGGTAGCCCAGTAGAAATATTACAATAAGTGTGCCCGCTTTTCGGTTGGCTACTTTACAAGGGAACCTTGAACTTGAACCAAAAAACGGGGGGCAAAAGGTACCCCTAAACCCTAAACCCTAAACCCTAAACCCTAAACCCTAAACCCTAAACCCTAAACCCTAAACCCTAAACCCTAAACCCTAAACCCTAAACCCTAAACCCTAAACACCGGGGTACCAAGTTGTGGTGGGCAAGGAGGGGCATCGTTACTGTACTAGCTAGAAGTTAAGCCACTTACAACCTAAGCTAGGATCGTTATCGCCCAATGTAGGGCCCTTTTTACTCTACTTAGAACTAGGGAGCCCCTCCTTGCCCTAAACCCTAAACCCTAAACCCTAAACCCCAAACCCTAAACCCTAAACCCTCCTTGTGCGAGGTCCATCCCACCTCGATGGCGTTGTCTTGCGCGTATTCTTCGGCGACGTGCTGAGAACTCTCGTGGATGGGGAGCTTTCGTCTTCGGATCCTTCTAGGCTGCCAAAAGCGTCCAAGGGTAGTCCCTTAGCATGGGCCCTTAAACGGGTACCATTTTTACCCCTTATATACCCTACACAAATTAAGCGCCTACACATCAGATCCCTTTACAGAGGGTCAGGGACCAAATTTGCGGGCCGATGTAGTTACCGTAGGTAAACCTGCAAGGTACGCCCCCATCGGCCTTCAAAACTCCGTCTTGGCTGGCACTTGTACTTGTGAAGTTGCTTTGCCCCTAAACCCTAAACCCTAAACCCTAAACCCTAAACCCTAAACCCTAAACCCTAAACCCTAAACCCTAAACCCTAAACCCTAAACCCTAAACCCTAAAACATAAACCCTAAACCCTAAACCCTAAACCCTAAACCCTAAACCCTAAACCCTAAACCCTAAACCCTAAACCCTAAACCCTAAACCCTAAACCCTAAACCCTAAACCAACCCTAAACCCGAAACCCTAAACCCTAAACCCTAAACCTAACCAGCAAGTTTCAAGGGCTCTGTCGTGGCAAACGCACTCATTTCTGTGCTGAGTTTGGGATGGGCTAAGACCGAAGCCCTAAACCCTAAACCCTAAAACCTTGAGATTTGCATGGGTGGGGTGGGGGGGGGGGGGGGGGGGTCTTTCAGGAAGCTTCGGCGAAAACCAGCGTGCCACGTTGAACCACACTAAGCCCTAAATTTAAGGTTTTGGGTTTAGGGTTCAGGGTTTCTAAGTGTTTCTGCATGGTGCCTTAACAGGGTCCCTTACCTCCTTTCAAAGGTTCTGAAGTATAGGCCCTTGGGTTGCATAGGTATACAAGGGGTATGTAAGGGGTCCCTTTTGCGTGTTAAGGGCCCATACTAAGGGACCATGAGAAACTACCCTAAGAGGGCCTAGGGCTTATAAACCCTGCTGTTTGTCCTTTATAAACCCAAGACCCGAAAAATACTCCAAAGACACTTAAAGGAAGGGTCCTGGCATTGTCCACAAGTCGGAAGACGTCTGATCGTTCTTCATCAAGTCCACGTACAGCTGCGAGGGGGGGGGGTGCATTGTACTTTGGGCCCAGGGTTCCGAAGGTTTAGGGTTTAGGGTTTAGGGCTTGGGGTTTCGGGTTTAGGGTTTAGGGCTTGGGGTTTAGGGTTTAGGTATGAAGTCCACGTACAGCTGCGAGGGGGGGGGGGTGCATTGTACTTTGGGCCCAGGGTCCCGAAGGTTTAGGGTTTAGGGTTTAGGGCTTGGGGTTTAGTGTTTAGGGCTTAGGGCTTAGGGCTTAGGGAGGGTTTAGGGTTTAGAGGGTTCATCTATGGTGCTGCTGGCCTCTGGAGCAGGGAAGGGTGCCCAAGAGTGTGTTGCATCCACCTATGAGATGAAAGCCCCCCCTAAACCCTACACCTTAAACCCTAAACCCTAAACCCTAAACCCTAAGCCCGAAACCCTAAACCCTAAGGTCTTAGGGGCTTAGGGGCAAGGGCTCAGGGCGACTTTAGCCCAGCCTAGGGCTTGGGGTGTAGGGTTTAGGGTTTAGGGTTAGGGTTTAGGGCAGGTTTAGGGTTTAGGGTCCAAGCTCGTGGCCTCAATTTCTACAGCAGACAGCGCAGCACGCCTGAGCAAACTTGCGTGTCTGCAGCTGCATATCCGGACTTTTGCACACCTGGAGAGCACTGGCTTGAAGGGGTGGGGGCCAAGAACCCTAGCCCAAGGCGCATAGTGAAGGAGCCCATGCATGACAATTCTTGAAGGCTCTTGCTAGGGTCTGGGTTGAAGGCATGAGGCTTCATAACTGAGGGAGGGAAGTCAAGAAATTGAAGGCTGGGGACTTTGAATTTCAAGCCCGATTTCACGAAGCCCTGGCTCAAGATTCGGGCTTAGGGATGTATAAGGCTCACCGACTGTATATAGGCGCATCTCTATGCAAACGCACCGACCTAGCGGAAGATGCCTTACATGTGTGCATCCTGGGTGCATGTAGTGTGCACACCCTAAACCCTAAACCCTAAACAGCCAAGCAACGCACTCGCAGAAACCTTCCATGTTCATGATCACCTTGGTGGATCTTGGGCCCACAAACCCTTTACCACCCTCAGGGTTGCCCGCGGGGAGAAATCCCAGGGGTTTAGGGTTTGGGGTTTAGGGTTTAGGGTTTGAACATCCTAAAGACCCGGGTTGTCTAGAGCATCTGAAGAAGCTCTGCAACTTCGGCGGCAGCTTGATTTTCACTTCGCACGGCAGAAGCATCCCAAATAGCTTATATATGGTCAGTTGTCAAACTTACGGTCCCTTCTGGGGCACCCGAAAGAAGAGCGGCCGCCTTATTCTCAGGACCCCAAAAGGGACCATCGTTTAGGGAAGTGACCATATAGCATGTAAGGACTGTGTCAGCTGACTCTTGATCGCACTGACCTTGCTTGCAAGTTTGATTCAACATACAAGGTCAGGAAAGCAATATACGGAAACTACTACCCGAAACCCTGAACGCGAATTGCGGTTTGCTTCACACAGCCGCATCATATAGAAAGAAAGGCTACCTACAAGGTATAGAGGTTCAGGCATGAATTCCTCCTCCAGGGTTGAAGGGTTAGGGCTTGGAATTTAGGGTTTCGGATTTAGGGTACCTCCTGAGCCTTAGACCCTTAACCGTACACCCTACACGCTGAACCCCGTATCAGCCTTCCCGCCATGAACCCTGGATCCTGCAAACTCAAGACCCACAAACCCTAAACCCTAAACCCCAAACCCCAAACCCTAAACCCTAAACCCTAAACCCATAACTGCACAAGCCGCGCTGCCATTATACTCAGCTCCTGCGTTGGAAGGGTTTCGGGTTGAGGGTCTCAGTCTAAGGGTAGTTACATGGTCCCTGCATGTGGTCCCTCCCTAAACCCTAAACCCTAAACCCTAAACCCTAAATCCTAAGCCCTAAGCCCTAAACCCTAAACCCTAAACCCTTACCTTCTTTAAAGGGCTCTGAAGTAACTTTGGGCCCTTGGGTTTTATGGGGTATACCAGGGTTATAGAAGGGGCCCCCATTTAAGAGCCCATACTAAGTGACCAGCTAGCTACCCTAACACTAGGGCGTATCGCCGTATCGGGTTTAGGGTTAGAGCGTTTAGGGTTCCGGTTCATGGTTTCTAGTGGCTTCAGCTTCCAACATGGCCTCAAGCCTCAACCTTTCTTCCCTAGAGTCGCAGCTGCTTGTGGAGCCAGAAGGGTTTAGTGTTTTGGGTTTATAAACCCAAAACCCGAAAACCCAAAACCCTAAACCCTATAGGGTCTAGGGTTTAGGGCCATTTATGATTTAGGGCGTAGGGTTCGCGGTTGCTTTAGGGTGTAGGGCTCAGGAGTCAGGGCGGGTTTAGGGTTTTCGACTCCTGAAGCCCCAAGAACGTAAACCCCCCTCTAAACCCTAAACCCTAAACCCTAAACCCTAAACCCTAAACCCTAAACCCTAAACCCTAAACCCTAAACCCTAAACCCTAAACCCTAAACCCTAAACCCTAAACCCTAATAAGCCCTGAGCTGAATTCCACCATGTGCTGAAGAAGCCCTCCTCCAAAATGAAAAACATTCTCTGGGCTGGCCTGTTACACTTTAGACTTAGTTGTCCAGTACCTAGGGGTTGGTTAAAGGTTACGTACTCTACTACTAAGTAGACCCTTTTGAATAAACAAGTATATACAGGGTCCCCGCTACACCTAAATAAGGCAAGTATAAAATGTCCCAAAGTCCAACCCAGTTCTTCCTCACAAGGGCAATATCAGGAGTATTATCTTAAAATTTTTTTTGGGGGGGAAACCCTAAACCCTAAACCCTAAACCCCAAACCCCAAACCCTAAACCCTAAACCCTAAACCCTAAACCCTAAACCGTAAACCCTAAACCCTAAACTTAAGCAAATTCTTAAGCAAATGGCAGGTTAACCGGGAGGGGGGGGGGGGGGCTAAGCCCGGGATCCTTGTGTGTGGAAAAAGGGTTCTCAGGATTCAAAGTCTGGCGAGTCTTGTAGGGTTTAGGGTGTAGGGTTTAGGGTTCAGCATCTCAAAGTTCAAGCATTCACTGGGTTAGCAGCTGTTCAAGCGCCCGAAAAGTACCCACCCAGCCAGAGAATCCCATACCATTGAGATACTGAAAAGTTTCACACGCAACCAAAACTCCTAGCCCCAATTAAACCCTAAGCACTCGTCCTGAACCTTAAACCTAACCTTCAACCCTTGAGACCCTCAACCCTTGAGACCCTCAACCCTTGAGACCCTAAACCCTTGAGACCCTCAACGCTTGAGACCCTCAACCCTTGAGACCCTCAACCCTTGGGACCCTCACCCCTGAGACTCTTGAGACCCTCGGGTGGGGGGCCTGGGAAGGGGGGGGGGTCTTGTAGGGTGTAGGGGGTAGGGTGTAGGGTTTAGGGTTTAGGGTTAGCAAGGGCTTAGAGGTTTGGGGGTTTGGCCAAACGGTTGAGGATTTAGGGGATGAATGTGTAGTATCCACTGTATGGTCGAAAGCGTTTTTTGGGGTTCGTCGTGCCAAACCCTCAACCCTCAACTCTACACCCTACACCCTACACCCTACCCTAAACCCTAAACCCTAAACCCTAAACCCTAAACCCTAAACCCTAAACCCTAAACCCTAAACCCTAAACCCTAAACCCTAAACCCTAAACCCTAAACCCTAAACCCTAAACCCTAAACCCTAAACCTAAATCCAGGACATGGGATACATCAGGCGGAGACTTCCTACAAGTGCAGCGGCCGCCAACAAGCTATTCTTGGTTTGAGGCACAAAGGGCCCCAGGTCTCAGGGCTTAGGGTTTGGGGGTTAGGTTATTTTGTATGCCTTGAGGGTAGCAGGGTTTAGGGTTTAGGGTTGAGGGTTTAGGGCCTAGGGTTGAGGGTTGAGGGTTTAGTATCGAGCCCTAAACCTGTCCTGTGTAAAGAGATCCCCAAGGTAGGACCACGGCGTGTAGAGGCACATCTCAGCCACCCATTGGTCCACGCAGACCGTTGTGCACCTCGCTGCAACTCGGTTTTAGGGTTTAGGGTTTTAGGGTTTAGGGTTTAGGGTTTCGGGTGTATAGGGCGTGGACAACAGCCCGCAAAACCTGCACAAACCCAGAGCCCCCTAAATCCTGAAACCAGCCCGGCACTACTATATGAAGTAGGGTTTCGATTTCTTGTACCCCCAAAAGGATACCCAATGTCTACACTCACGAATATTAAACATTAGGAACCTGATATACACTCCCCAATAACAGAAGCTCTAAACCCTAAACCCTAAACCCTAAACCCTAAGCCCTAAACCCTAAACCCTAAACCCTGCTTCATATGATGCAGCCCTGGTACTCTTTTCCCTGGCAGTACTCCAGTTGTCCGGTGGACGCGACAAAGCACTGCTCGGCCAGATTGCCAGCATAGAACCTCAGCTTAGCTAGGGTTTAGGGTTTAGGGCTTAGCGCATAGGGTATAGGGTATAGGGTTTAGGGTTTAGGGTTATGTAGGGTGTCGGGATGTTCCCCCTCTTTCTAACAGTTAACAGTCCTTAATAGGGCTTCGAGTAGGGGGTACTTTGGTCCCTATTAAGGACTGTTAGTCTAAGGGGGAACATCCCAGAGTGTATAGGGTGCTGAGTTTATGAAGTAAGGTTTGTAGCGAGTCCCCAACTTCACCAGTATGTGCAACTGTCTTCTGTCGAAGCCCTCCCCAACAAGAACCCCGAAACCACAAACCCTAGTACCTAAACCCTCAACCCTCAATCCCAAACCCTAAGCCCTAAACCCTTAACCCTAAACCCTACCGAACAAACATGCCCTAGTTCAGAGACTGAGGTCTGGGCGAGGGTTGGCGAAGCCCAACCCTAAACCCGAAACCCTGAAGCCTAAACCCCAAACCTTAAACCCTAAACCCCAAGCCCAAAACCCGAAACCCTGAACCCTAATTCAACCCCAAACCCTGAACCCTAAACCCCACACCCTACCCCTGAATCCTGAACCCTAAACCCTAAACCTCAAACCCTAGATTTCAGGATTTGGGGCACTGTTTCTGCAGGGATCCGAATGTCGTGCTCAGAACCGCCACCCCCTCCCCAACCCACCCAAGAACTCCGAAATAGGTTCCAGGGATTAGGGTTTAGGGTTTGGGGTTTGGGGTTTAGGGTTTACAGTTTAGGGTTTAGGGTTTGGGCTTAGGGTTTAGGGTGCATGGAGTATGTGGATAATCGGGTCACGAAGCATCCCTTTGAGGTCTTAACCCTCAAGGAAGGCTCCACCCGACATCCCGCGCGACGAAAAAGCTTCTAAGCCCAAAACGGTCTAGCTGCTAGAGAACCCTCAAAAAACACAAAACAAAAATCCCTAGATTGCCCTTATAAGGAAGAATATTTCCATTTTCGGGGGTTCTTAAGCAATTGGTAGCTTAAGGTCCCGGCCTTAAGAGTTTAGAGGTTGAGGGTTGAGGGTTTAGGGTTTAGGGTTTCCATGGTGTTGGGGTTTAGGGTTTAGGGTTCAGGGTTCAGGGTTCAGGGTTCAGGGTTCAGGGTTTAGGGTTTAGGGCTTACAGAAAGGACAAAGATCAGGGTCAAGGTTGCCTCCTCAGTTCCCCAGGCTTCGCTTTGAGACCTAGCTATGAGGGTTTACGAAAATAGGGGGTTTAGGGTTTAGGGTTTAGGGTTTAGGGTTTAGGGTTTAGGGTTTAGGGTTTAGGGTTTAGGGTTTAGGGTTTAGGGTTTAGGGTTTAGGATTCCCTTATTCATGCACCCCAATAAGGTACCCCCCAAATTCGGAAGTCCCCCATAGGTTCTTTGCATGACGTCTTAAGTGTTCTAGAGGCATGCGTAGGAATCGCAATGATGCCTTGGGACAATGCTCTTGTAGGGTCTAGGACTTACGGGAATGCTTGACGATGTTGGGTCCACTTTGCAGCAGATTCCTTGCGGTGGCTAGGCACATGCGTTCAGGCGAGTTCCGTGCTTGCTGCGAGCGACTTCGTATCATTGCAATGCTCAAAAGAATCCCCTAAGCCGTTTTCGGGCCTTATAGGGTTTGGTTTGGGGTGTGCCCCCTCATACTATAACAGTCCTTAATAGGGACTATAGTACCCCCTGTCATACGCCCTATTAAGGACTGTTACTAGAAGGGGAACATCCCAAGGTTTGGGGCTTTGGAAAACTCAGCTGCGCTGGAGAGCTTTCTGATGCTGCACAGAAGCACGACCTCGCCCTTCGCCAGGACACTTTGAGCCAGGGCCTTTGCGCGTCCACGCATGCCCCAGAAACCCCCCCCCCCACACCCCAAACAAAAACAACAACAAGCTTCAAAAGCCCTTAAGGTTAAGCCGAAACAGCACCCATAAACCAGCAAAGCCCGTGAGAAATGCCTCTGAACCCAAGAAAAATGCCTCAGAGCATCGGACCTGTTCCATGCTCTCTCCTAAAGGCACATGCCCTGTGGCGAACCGACGTGGGGGGTTGCCGAAAACAGGGGCACCCTTTTTGGGGGTCCCTTTAAGGGGATTCTATTCTATTTGGGGTATAAACAGGGTACCCCTATTTTTGGGAAACACCCATAGTCTTACGAAGAGTTCTGGAGGTGCTGTTACAAGCTCTTCGGAAGGGTCCGGAACCTAGGCACCCTACATATTCCTTCAAGGGAGAAGCAGTGAGCCAGAAAAGCTTGGGTGCCTAGAGGCTTTCAGCTGTGGCTTTGGGCAGAGGGGCCGGTTTGGTGGCAGTTTTGGGAGGCTGGTATTTATGACGCTCTCAAGCTTTTACCCTAAACTCTGAAACCCTAAACCCCAAACATTAAACCCTGGACACTACACCCTCAAGCCCGAATTTAGCACGCCTGGACCGACATGTCGTGCAAGATCTGCATGTGCTGATGATTCCTACCTCAGCAGGCTGCTTCGGGTTTGGGGTTTAGGGGTTAGGCTTGGGGGTGTCTAGGCTTGGGGGTGTAGGGTTTAGGGTTTACGGTTTCATCGGCATTAGACTCGCCCAAGCCCTCAGCCCCCTGAAACCCGAAAGCCCCAAACCTCGGAGTGTAGTGGGTTTAGCTCAAAACCATGACACCTTAAAATTGGATGCCGCGTAACCTAGCAGTAAACCCTTTTGTGTTCAAAGGGGCTTAATAAAGGGGAACCGACCCCCCTCCCCCCCACCCCCCTCCCCCACCCCAAAATCAACAAGGGCATTACTGGGCATCCTATATTACCGTTGTAGGGAAGAATATTCTTCATTTTTGTGGGGTTCTCAAACAACCACCAAAAAAGTAAAGACAATGATCCCTATTACCCTGCTGTGGAGATTTTGCTTAAGTTGTTTGTTGGGGGGTCTTCAGCAAGGCAAATAACAGGTTAACCCTAATTCCTAAACCCTAAACCCTAAACCCTAAACCCTGAACTGCAGGGTCCAAGTCGTAGCCAGGAGGCCTTCCAGCAGCGTTTCCACGAAGGCCATGCTGCTCAGGCTCCGCTGGTACCTGGAGCACTTGAGGCAGTTAAGGGGTATAAGGAGGGACCCTAAACCCTAAACCCTAAACCCTAAACCCTGAACCGCAAACCCTAAGCCCTACAGTAGAAGCCCAAAAGTTGGAAACTCAATAGCCTCAATCCCTAAGAGTAAAGCATAGGGATCCCAGCACTATTTGTCCTTGAAAAGGTTTCCAACTTTTTGGGTTTAGGGTTTAGGGTTTAGGGTTACGCGTAATTCCCGCACCCGAAACATCACGTAGACTTTGAAAATCCTGAGCCTGAAGCGATCAGTTCATGTAGACTTTGAAATCCTGAGCCTGAAGATCTCGTTACATGGTCCCTTAGTATGGGCCCTTAGAAGGGTCCCCCTTATTTACCCCTTCTATACCCAAATTAAGGGCCCATACGTGAGAACCCTTTAAAAGAAGGTTAGGGGGACCATATTGAGGGCCCATGGAACTACCCTCAAGAGAGACAAAAAGCTCATTCTTGGGGGGCGTTGGCCTTGGTGAGTACGCCACGCCCTACACCCACTGAGCCTAAACCCCCTGAACCCTAAACCTTAAACCCTAAACCCTAAACCCAAACCCTACAGCCACTGAGCTAGCTTCGTGCGGCGGCGCACCGCGCAAACTGAAGCTCTCCAAAGAGATTCTTGGAGAGATGCGCCAGCAAAGGTACCTGTTGAGGGGTTTAGGGTTTAGGGTGTAGGGTTTAGAGTTTAGGGTGTAGGGTTTAGGGTTTAGGGCTTAGGGTTTTAGGGTTTAGGATGTAAGGTTTCGTGCTTGACGTTCTGTCGAGGGGTGCTGATGTAGGGTACTTAGGGCTAAGCTTATGGGTTTTGCATTTAGGGCTTCGCGGGGTTGTAGGATTTTGGGTTTAGGCCTGTGCTTTCGGATTGAGGGCCCTAAGCCCGAAGCCACAAGGCCTAAGCCCTAAGCCCTAAACCCTAAACCCTAAACCCTGTCTCTTTCAGGGTTCAGCAATCATGTCATAAGGGAGTCCGGTGGCGAAGGAAGCCAGAAGGGTCTAGGGCTTAGAGTCTTCATACCTCATACCCCGAGGAATTGCCCAAGGGTTTAGGGTTTAGGGTTTAGGGTTTAGAGTTTTGGGCTTTGGGTTCAGGGTTTCGGGTTTAGGGGTTTAGGGCCTAGGGTGCTGTTTCGGTGTTGGGTCCGCTCTCCCCTGAGGTTTAGGGTTTAGGGCACTTGGCCGCCCAAATCACACTGCCGGAACGCCTCCAAACCCTAAACCCTAAACCCTAAACCCTAAACCCTAAACCCTAAACCCTAAACCCGAAACCCTAAGCCCTAAACCCTAAACCCTAAAACCCTAAAACCCTACACCCTAAACCCTAACCCCTGAACCCTAAACCCTACACCCTAAACCCTAAACCCTAACCCCTAAGCCCTAAACCCTAAACCCTAAGTTGACAAAACGATCAACTCCAGCCCAGCCCCAGTCATCTGCCACTCCGGAATACTGCTTAGAGATGGTGAAGATTGGAGTTTTTTTTGGGGGTCATATGAATCCTTAAACCCCTAAACCAAAGCCCTCAACCCTCAACTCGACCTCAGCCTGTACCCCAAACCCTAAACCCTAAACCCTAAACCCCAAACCCTAAACCCTAAACCCTAAACCCTAAACCCTAAACCCTAAACCCTAAACCCTAAACCCTAAACCCTAAACCCTAGGCATGCGCCTGGCTGTCTGAGATGGCTTCTCGCTGGATGTTGTAGCTGTGCTGCAGGAACTTCGTCACCTCAGGGTCTTCGTCTTTCTTGGCAATTGTGGGGGGATTAGGGCTTGAAGGTTTCTGAGGTTTAGGGTTTAGGGTTTAGGGTTTAGGGTTTAGGGTTTAGGGTTTAGGGTAGAGGATGTAGGGTTGAGGGTTTCGGGTTTGGGGTTTAGTAGTCGTAGGTGCAGCTGGTAGAAGAAACGATTGTTCAGATTCGGGTCGGGCTTGGGGTCTAGGGTTTAGGGTTATGGGTTTAGGGTTAAGGGTTTAGGGTTAAGGGTTAAGGGTTTGGGGTAGCCCAGCCCCTCACTGCTGCCAGATTGCGCGCTGCGACAGCGACTGCGGGATGTGGTTCCGCAGCAGAAAGCTGCGTAGGAGTCCTGGGTTTTGGGGTTTAGGGTTTATAGGGTTTGGGGTTTAGGATTTAGGCTGACTGGAGGGTTTGGGATTTCGGGCTCAGAGTCCTAAACCCTAATCCTAAACCCGAAACACTAAAACCCAAAGCCCTAAAAATCAAAACCGAAAGTTCTTAAACCTCTCCACCTTGAGGCTTGGAAAGGGGCTCAGAATGCCGCCAAGGATTCAAAATTGCGCCTTGCGACACCCCAAGTTAAAGTCTAGGGGTTTAGGGTCTCTAGGGTTTGCGGTTTGGGGTTTAGGGTTTAGGGTTTAGGGTTTCGGGGTTAGGGTTGGGGGTTTAGGGTTCGGGGCTTTCGGATGAAGCCCCAATCCCGAAACCCTAAACCCAAGGCGAACCATACTGGTAGTCAGCGGGGAATATTAGGGACTTATAACTTCTTTCTGGGCCCTGAAATGCCGAGAGGGAGTTTAGGTTGAGGGTTTACCCTAAACCCTAAACCCCAAAAAGGGGAAAGGCCAAGCGTCGGAACTGATGCTGCTCTTCTTCTTGCACGTTGTGCAGGCTCGTCAGCAGTGAAGTCATCAAGCTGACTAAGGACCTTAGAGGGTTTAGGGTTTAGGGTGTAGGGTTTAAGACGCACTCTCTCGTCAGCTCATTGAGACTCACTCGCTTGGAGCAAGCATAGAGAGGCTCTCATCTACACAAACCCAAAGCACCTAGAACGCCCAAAGCCCTAATTCAACCCTGAACCCCTGAAACCCAAAAGCGAATCAAACCTCGTGAAATCTGAAGACTAAACCCCAAACTCCCCCGAAAACCTCGCGGGCCTTCTAAACTTAGCGACCCTAAACCCTAAATCCTAAACCCTAAACCCTAAATCCTAAACCCTAAACTTTGCCGCCGCCGGGCGAAAAGGTGACCAGTGCTACAAGCACTGTGACGATGCAGAAGACCCGTTCCTTAAATAGGCTGCGCGGACGGGCTCCGCAAGGGAGTGCCCAAAACTCTCACGCCCTGACGCCCTGCTGTAAATCCAAAGGTTGTATGGGCCCTTATTATGGCCCTTTACCTCCGTCAAAGGGTTCTGGAGTATGGGCCCTTTGGTTGTACAGGGTATATAATAAGGGCCCCCTTTTACGTGCCCCATGTTAAGGGACCACCATGGAACTACCGTAAGAAAAATTCGGAACCCTAAGCCCTAACCTTCTACAGCCCCGAACCTCTCCATCCCGAACCGACCCACGGCAGACAAAAAGACCCCAAAGCCCCGAACCCTTCAACATCCGAAACGCAAGGACCTGGGCCCAGACTAAGCTCCTGTACCTCCACAAGAGATCAAGGGACTGAAGGAGGGACCCCTTTATGAGGGGCTACATTGGGGCTACATGGGGACTAACCCTAAACCCTAAACCCTAAACCCTAAAGCCTAAACCCTAAACCCTAAACCCTAAACCCTTTGGTACGCAGCCCTCAAGCGGCCTTGTTTGGGGTGCCTTACCTCTTGGCATATCCGGGGATGCTGTCACGAACCCTAAGCCCTAGACCCTGAACCCTAAACCCTAAATCCTCTCCCCTAAACACTAAAACCCTAAACCCTAAACCCCAAACCCTAAACCCCAGACCCTAAACCCCAAACCCTAGCTCTACAAGTCCCTCCAGGCACAAGTTGGGCGACCTAAACTCTAAACTTACAAAGCCTAAAGCCCAAAAGCCCAAAATTTAGGGTGGGTTAGGGTTTAGGGTTCAGGGCTAAGGTTTAGGATTTAGGGCCCAAAGCCCCGCAGACCCTACACCCCAAGCCCCCTCTCCTAAAAATCTGCACCCTAAACCCTAAGCCCTAAGCCCGAAGCCCTAAACCCCTACATGGCTCGGCGAAGTTGGTGGCTTCGATGATGTTGGCGCCCAGCCCTTCAAGGCAGGCAAGGGTCAATGGGGGTTGGAGGCCTGAAGCCAAAAACCCCATACGCGGGTTTAGGTTTGGGGTTTGGGGTTTGGGGTTTGGGGCTTGGGGTTTGGGGTTTAGGGTTTAGGGTTTAGGGTCGGTTTAGGGTGCCCTGAACCCTAAAACCCTAAACCCCAAAACCCTCAAGCTTGTCTGTTTTTATTTACGGTCTCAAGGGCATAAGAAGGGGATAGGGTTCACACAGAGTTACGAAGTTGTTGTACTGCTAGTCTCGCAAAAGGACACTCCCGCATCAACACTCACCAGCTTTTGGACAGGGACCATTAAAAGCACTCACCAAGAACCGTAGGAAAGTACCGAAAGTACCCCACCGCTGAACCCTAAACCCTTAACCCTAAACCATCCCGTTTTCTCAAACCCTAAACCCTAAACCCTATTTCACGTAAGTTTCAGGGTAAGTGGCTGCTCCTGAATACCAGGGCGGCGCCAAGCCAAACGAAAACAGGTGCACACCAGGAAGCCCGCCAAGAGCTGCTTCATGGAAATTACGAAAATGGGGAGCCCCCGAGATAGATCTCCAAATAGTAGGATCCCCCTAAGAAGTAAGGACCCCAATAAGGTACTCCTAAACCCTAAACCCTAAACCCTAAACCCTAAACCCTAAACCCTAGATTCGTAAACCCCCATTGAAGGCACCCCCTAATATCGTAAACCCTTCATGGCAGCTGGCTAGCAGAGTCGGAGCCTCTGCTGAGAAGCCCCTGCTCACTTATTAGGCCTCGTGGACAGCTTGCCAAACTGGCCGGGCTAGGGCTCAGGGCTTAGGGCTTAGGGCTGAGGGCTTTGGGCGTGGGGCTTGGGGCTTGGGGCTTAGGGCTTGGGGCTTGGGGCTTAGGGTTTCGGGTTTAGGGCGATCAGTCCAGCTGGTGCTGGGAGCAGGAAAACAAAGACTGGGACACTCAAGACCCGTAGGACTAAGACCGTTGAGCCTCGGAACTGCTACACGCGAAGGTACCCCAAAAAAGGGTTTGAGGGTTTAGGGTTTAGGGTTCATTCGCAAATCCTACGTAGGATTTCTAGAGTGTAGGTCTTGGACCTCAGAGCATTCCAGACTGGTGCTATGAGCCAGAGGCCGAGCCCTTAGAGCCGTGTAAGGTTCTAGGGTCTTAGGGCCTGTCGCAGATCCCCACCACCCGAAGCACTGAACCTTTCCTAAACGCTAAGCCCTAAGACCTAAAGCCTACACCCTCAACCCCACACCATGACTGGCTAGTTCTTAGTAGCGAAGAACGGAATGAGGTAACCTATCTAATCCCTTAAAAGGTATATATAGGGCCCTCATTCCCTCATTTCCTACTAAGAACCAGGGGGATGTACCAACTCTGAAGCAAACCTTAAACCCTAAACCCTAAATCCCTAAACAGCATCTCAAGACCCGCACGCCTAGCTGGCAGACCGCCCAATGAAGAGTGGTGGTGTACTGGTAGCCGAAGGAACGATCGCTGAGGCCTGGTAGCGACTAAACCCTAAACCCTAAACCCTAAACCCTAAGCCCTAAACCCTAAACCCTACACCCTAAACGCGCAACCCTAAACCCTAAACCCCCGCGGATTCTTTGGGCTTTGTATGCATAGGGGTGGGACGCCTTTTCCACAAATCTTGAAACTTAACAAGCGTCAAAACTAAAGACCCCAGAACTAAAACCCAATGCCTGAACCTCAAAACCCAAAACTCCACAGTTAGGGCTTGGTAGCCCAGTAGCCGCCTTATAATCAGGGCACCTTGGCACCTTTTTTTGGCTACTTTATAAGGGAACCTTGAACCAAAAGAAGTGAAAAGGGTACCACTGGGCTACCAAGAGGGCCTACGGGCGATACTATGACCACACCCTAAGTTCTCCACACCCTAAACCCTAAACCCTAAACCCCTAAACCCTAAACCCCTAAACCCTAAACCCTAAACCCTAAACCCTAAACCCCAAAGCCTACAGACCCTGTACCCTGGCATGCCGGCACCCTAAAAAGTCAACCCTAAACCCTGTGCCCCAAGGAAGGGTCTGCACAGGGTTTCGGGTTTAGGGTTTAGGGCAGAAGCCCCTTCAACACATGGAAGGTTTCCTGGCTAGAAATCTGGAACGCGCGCAGTCCAAGCAGGAATGCAAGAAACAAGCAGGAAGCAACCAGGTTTGTTTACGCGCCTGCTTCCTTTTAGGGGTGCAGGGGTTTAGGGTTCTGGGGTTTAAAGGGTTTAGGACTTCAGAGGTTAAGGAGATTAGAGCGGTTAGGAGTTTAAGGGTTTCGTGAAGGGGTGTAGGACCTAGGTTTCCTAGGGGTTTAGGGTTTTCGGAGTTTAGGGGTGTGGTTTAGGGCATCCAGGGGTTTAGGGCTTCTATTAGGGCCCTGCAGCCCAAGCCCTGACAAAAAAAACAGACCCCCCAAAGCCAACTCCGATACTCCTGGAAACTCCACATCTCTAAGCATTAAACCCTAAACCCTAAACCCTAAACCCTAAACCCTAAACCCTAAGCCCTAAGCCCTAAGCCCTAAACCCTAAACCCTAAACCCTAAACCCTAAACCCTAAACCCTAAACCCTAAACCCTAAACCCTAAACCCAGCTCGTGTTGGGAGCCCAAGCTGTACACGTCGATCCAGTTGGAGGAGTCGGCGTTGATACGACCCAACCTCAGGGCTTGGGGACATTTAGGGTTTAGGGTTTGGGGTTTAGGGTTTGGGGTTTAGGGTTTAGGGTTTAGGGTTTGGGGTTTGGGGTTTAGGGTTTGGGCTTTAGGACTTTTGCAATCCTGCTTAAGGCTTAGGGCTTTGTGGCTTTAGGATCCGTAGGGTTTTGCCTTCCCTGGCCGGCCAGGCTCCAAAAAAAGCTCCCGCAAAGGAACCCAAATCCCAACAGCCCGCGCTCTCTACTCCTGTGGGCCAGAAACCATATCTTAGTTGTCCAGTACCTCGGGGGGCTAAAGGTTTATACAGGGATTCTATTACCCCAAAAAGGTTAAAGGTTACCTACTCTACTACTAAGATATGATGTAGGGCATATATTTCTTGTACCCCCAAAAGGACACCCGGCATATACACTCACCAACATTAAAAAAAAAGGAACCTTCTATACACTCACCAAAAGCAGTAATATAAACCCTGTCTCATAAGGGGGTTTCCGAAAATAGGGGTGCCCTTTTGGAGGTCTCTTCAAGGGGATTCTCCTCTACTTGGGGGGAACAAAGGGGTACCCTATTTTTCGGGACCTACACCATATATCCCAAAACCTAAACTCTGTACCCCAAGCCCCAAACCCTCTAAAGCCCGAAATGCCCTATAATATAGGGGCCTTAATCATTAGAATAGGGTTTTGGGGTTATTATAGTATAAATATCAAGGGATCATAAGGGAATACTACTAGTAAATATTCACCCTAGACCCTAAACCCTTGAACCCTAAACCCTATAGTAAACCCCATCACATTGCAGGTCGGAAGACCCCCAGTAGCTGCAGGCCACCACGTGATACATCAGAAGGATCCTCGGACGTTGAGGGCATTTTGGGGACCTAAACCCTAAACCCTAAACCCTAAACCCTAAACCCTAAACCCTAAACCCTAACCCCTAACCCCTAACCCCTAACCCCTAACCCCTAAACCCTAAACCCTAAGTCACAGGGTGTAGGGTTCAGGACTCTGTTCAACCTATCCGCGGGCACGAAGCTCTCGCTACCCGATATCCTGATCACCCTAACCCTAAACCCTACACCCTACACCCTTAGCCGGCAGGCCTTTTCAGGTAAAGAAGTCACCAACCCTAAAATAAAACCCAACCCCAAACCTTCAACATAAACCCTAAACCCTCTCTATCGTTTAACAATAAACCCGAAAGAAAATCGTGGGGACGGCCCGAAACTTCGTGGGCAAGGCCCGAAAATTCGCGGGCCAGGACCGACTACTCGTGGGCAAGGCCAGTTTTTGGTTCCAGCGGACAAATTGAAATAAGCTGTGTGGAGAACATGAACTCTTGTAATGATGGAATGAGGGCCCTACATATACCCTTTAAGGGAGTATGTAGGGCCCTCATTCCCGCATTCCCTACTAAGAACCACCTAAGCCCTAAACCCTAAACCCCAAACCCCAAACCCTAAACCCCAAACCCTAAACCCTAAACTCCTACACCTCAACTACTAAGAACCAGGCAGTTGTATTTCTGAATGTTTTGGGATTCCCTGGGTGGGTATTTTCCTAGCCCGAGGCACCAAGCTCGACGAGAGACTGCTCGACCCGGAGCTGCTCAACCCTTAACCCCAAACCCTAAACCGGAGCTGCTGAACTAAAGCCTAAACCCTAAACCCGAAACCCTAAACCCCAGACTTCCAGCTGAGTGCCCGAGCCCGAAACCCTAGATTTCGTAAAGGCCCAAGTCTAAACCCTTAGTCCTTGAACGAACCCTAAACCCTAAACCCCAAACCCCAAACCCTAAACCCTAAACCCTAAACCCTAAACCCCAAACCCTAACCCCAAATCCTAAACCCTAAACCCAACAAGCAAAAATTGCCTAGAGACCACGAAGGCCTAAACCAGAGCCCCTGAAGAGCAAGAGCACTCAACCCCAGATTTCAAACCTAATCCTGACATGTCAGGTTTAGGGTTTAGGGTTTAGGGTTGTAGGGTTGTAGGGTTTGTAGGGTTTGTAGGGTTGTAGGGTTGTCGGGTTGTCGGGTTGTAGGGTTGTAGGGTTGTAGGGTTGTAGGGTTGTAGGGTTGTAGGGTTGTAGGGTTTAGGATTTAGGGTTTTAGGGTTTAGGTTACATCGGTTGGTGGTCTCTTTAAGTAGGGCTTCTGTTTTATAGAGCACATATTCAGGGTTCTTACCAGGGTATGTAGGGGCTATATGAAGGTGTAAGGGTAACAGGTAAAGAGGCCACCGGCCCTTATAAGGTTCAGGGTTTAGGGTTTAAAGCTCAAGGCAGGCGTCTGGATCAGAATGTTCATGATCGACAGCCGCGTGATCCAAATCTGTGAGTCGATGTTCTCACGTATGGAGGCGAACATCTGATTCCTCTTTGGCTGCATGGCGCTTATAGGGGCTCATAGGGGCCTTTGATTGCATGGAGGTTAGGAATGTGATGGTAGCATGTGGAGTGGTGGGAATGATGGCATGGACCCGAGGGCTTAGGGTTTATTTAGGGTTGAGGGTTTAGGGTTTAGGGTTTGGGGTTTGGGGTGACTTCCTTCTGACCAACAGTGCATCTTGAGTCTTGGGGCGACCTGAAGCTTGTCGGGACTGTTTCGTCTAGACCCAGGAGAAACCTGGGAACCAAAAAGGGTGCGGTTTAGGGTTTAGGGTTTAGGGTTTAGGGTTTAGGGTTTAGGGTTTAGGGTTTAGGGTTTAGGGTTTAGGGTTTAGGGTTTAGGGTTTAGGGAGACCCAGGAGTAATTTTGGAATAAAACAGGGTGCCCTTTTTGGTCTAAAGGGGCTTATAAGGGAACCTAGACCCTAAAAACAGGGAATACGGGCCGACTCCGGGTCCCAGTCTTCATAGAGGCGTCAGGGAGTTAGGGTTTAGGGTTTAGGGTTTAGGGTTTAGGGTTTAGGGTTTAGGGTTTAGGGTGCCGAGGCTCCCTCGACAACTCTAGAGAGGCTTCGGGGCCTTCTGTAAACCTGAAGCCCCAACCCTCGGGGCGGGAAAGGGGAGCGCGAGGCGCTTTGAAAGGAGTTGCTGGAGCTCTTACCCTAAACCCTAAACCCTAAACCCTAAACCCGGAACCCCAGACATCCGCAGAAAACAAAGACCTTATACGTACGCAATGCCATCCAGGATCCACTTCAGCAGTCGGCCCACTCCTCAATCAGAAAGAAGGTTTAGGGTTTAGGGTTTAGGATTTAGGGTGTAAAGTGCAGCTTAGAGAGTGTTGGGTTTGGAGTTTAAAGGTTTCCGAGGTGTCGGAAGATCATCAGATGCGATACTACCATATGTGACCCAAAAAGTGACCCCAGAAAGAGGGTTTAGGGTTTCGAAGTTTAAGGTTTAGGGTTTAGCATTGGGCAGTCCCCATAGCGACTCAACTTTACTTTTTCCTCCGTATGTAATCCCCTTTAAAGGAACATTTCACAGGCGCTCTTGTTCCACGAGTCCATCCACATGTTTTCCACAACAAAAGGCCCCCTTTTTCATGTCCAAGAGCCATGCTTTTCCACAGCAAAAGGCCTCCGTTTCCACGTCCAAAAGCCATGCTTTTCCACAACAAAAGGCCTCTGTCAAGACCCCTGGTTTCCATTCACAAAAAAGCTTTCTTTTCCAATTCCAAAAGCCAGCCTTGTCCACAACAAAAGGGCCTCCTTTGTGGAAAATGGTGTGGAATCGGGTTGCGGAAAGGATGTGGAAAGAAAGGTTGGAAACGATGCGGAAAGGATGTGGACAGCCCCAAAACTTTATGGAAATAGCATGGTTTTCAAGGCCCAAAAAAAACCTTGGGGGGTCGCTTTAAGGGGATTCGATCCTATTTAGGGAATAAAAGGCTTCAAGGCGATACCCCTATTTTTTGCGAAATACTCATATCTAAGCCCCAAGCTCTCGACTCTCTGTTTTCTAAGTCCAAAGCCCCCTTTTTATGACAGTCGGGCTGACGAAGTCTAAGCGGGTTTAGGGTTCAGGGTTTGGGTTTAGGGTTTGGAGTGAACTTACATCCCCCAAAGCGGCTCAACCCCAAACAGCCCCAATTGAAAAGTCCTCTCCTCCCTCCGAATCGTCTATAAGCCCTGCTGTATACCATTAGGGTTAGGGATTCGGGGCAACTCTGGCAACTCCCTAAAGAAACGCACAATACTAGGGAATGATCAAAATCGGTCAGCGTAGACCTGCATGAAGCGCGCCTCCCTGGATTTCACCCAAGAAACCCTGTCCCCCCACCCACCCACCCACCCCCCCTAAACCCCTGCTTCATATGGTGAGGACTGGCGCTTGGGGGGGGGGGGGGGGGATAGGGTTTGGGATTGGAGAGCACAGGGATTTAAAATTGGATGTAAGCTTATTCTCCCGTTTAAACCCTGAGCCCTAAACCCTAAAAACCCCAACAACCAAACCTATCAACCCTAGAAACCCCTGTAGGCCCTACGCCCTCTAAGCCCTCTCAACCCCTTCGAGGTTTATAAGGGTGAGGGCCGCTAAACCCCAAACCCATGAAAGCCTCCTACATCACGCCAGGTCTCTGATCATGCGCAGGAAGGTTAGCATAACGGAGTCGTGGGCCTTGCTGGGGGTCCGTGGGGTTTGCATCAAACTCTGAACTAAATCACGCGGCATGTCATGGCATTGGCAGGACAGACAATAGTCTCTCTTAAACAAGCCCTGGGTCTCATGCTTCAGTGTAGGTTTAGGGTTAGTTGAGGATTTAGCGTTTGGGTTTCGCGTTTCGGTATAGGGGGTGTAGAGGTTTTGTTGAGGAACTCTTCCGTGTGTGCGGGAAAGAAAACCTCATAGACAATTACAACATCAGGGATTCGGGTTTAGGAGGCTTCCGGGGGTGCCATTAGGGTTCTAGATTTTAGGGCTTACTCCAGCCTCTAGGCAGCCCCTGTAGTCGTGTAGGGGGTTCAGGGGTTCAGGGTTCAGGGTTTAGGGTTTAGGGGCCCTACGGTACAATTTTGAGGGCTGAGAGACTGGGTCATTCAACAGACCAAAGCCCGAAAGCCCTCAAACCCTCCCCAAAATCCCAAAATCGCATAAAAACACAAAAAGCCCTAAACAATCCTCTAAAACCCGAAAATCCCATAAAACCCCAAAAACAAAAAACACCTAAAAATCTAAAACCCTATAACGCCCAATGCCCTATACTATATACAGGCCTGAACACCCTGAAGCCTGAAGCCCACCAAACCCCAACCCTAAATCCCCAAGCCCAACCGCCCCCAAATCCTCTGGATCCTTGGCCTCCCCTCTAAACCCTAGAAGACCCTAGACCCTAAACCCCAAACCCCAAACCCTAAAGCCTGAACCCTAAACCCTAACCCTAAACCCTAAACCCTAAACCCTAAACCCTAAACCCTAAACCCTAAACCCTAAACCCTAAACCCTAAACCCTAAACCCTTCGGCTGATTCCCAAGACGAGGCACTCCCGAAGCTTCCAGCACGAAGTCTAAGGTGACGACCTTGGGGTTCAGGATTTGTCCCAAAACCCTAAACCCCTAAACCCCTAAACCCCTAAACCCTAAACCCTAAACCCTAAACCCCAAACCCTAAACCCTAAACCCTAAACCCCTCAACCCTAAACCCCTAAACCCTAAACCCCAAACCGTAAACCCGAAACCCTGCAACCCAGGGCAGTCTGTGGGCTTCGGGTTCGGAAGGTCAGGGGGGGGGGGGGTAAGCTGAGCTCTGAAGTCTCTCGGCCCATCCGCTTCCGGTTCGGGGTTTAGGGTTTCAGGGTTTAGGGTTTAGGGTTTTTTGGGTTTTGGGGTTTAGGGTTTAGAAGCCCAAAGCTCGCAACGCGAGGAGGAATGGCTCCCGGCGCTACACACTTGCCTTCAAATCCTTCAGGCGCAGGCCTTAGGGCTAACCCTAAACCTCTCTTTCACATGTACATAACAAACCTTAACGGCGGCACATTTTGCGTGCAAGTTTGCCGATTCAGTCGCGGCCAATCTTACGCTGACTCCTCCCCCCTTCCCACCCCCTGCTAGGACTCCCCACCCCCTCCCGCACCGGGGTTCAGGGTTTAGGGTTTAGAAGTCTAGGGGAGAAGGCCTGGGGTTTCAAGATTCCTGGGTTCAAGGTCTAGGGTTTCAGGGTTCAAGGCCTGGGGTTTAAGGTTTAGAGCCCAGACAACCAAAATGGTCTCAAAATGTTACGGGATCCCAAACCTGGGTGGGTAGGTATTCGATAAGAGCGTACGAGCTTGACTAGTGAATGCTTGGACTTGAGATGCTGAGACCTAAGCCCTGTAACCTGAACCCTGAACCCTGAACCCTGAACCCTAAACCCTAAACCCTAAACAGGTTGAGGGCTTTACGGCATTGGGGCTCAGAGACATGGTCCTGCTGTGCCACCGCAGTGGCCGTGAGATCGAAGAGAAGCCACCGCTTCCTCAGCCATTTGGTTTAGGTTTAGGGTTTAGGGTTTAGGGTTTAGGGTTTAGGGTTTAGGGTTTAGGGTTTAGGGTTTAGGGTTTAGGGTTTAGGGTTTAGGGTTTAGGGTTTAGGGTTTAGGGTTTCTGTGCATACCACACCGACCTTGGAACCATGATTTTTGCTGTTTCTGAGGAATTATGGTACCCAAAAAGTTTTTTTAGAAAAAGTATTCCAAAGTATCCCTAAGCATAAGGGCTTTAGGGTTTAGGGTTTTGGGGTTTAGGGCTTTAGAGTTTTAGGGGAGGGGTTGGCGTTTTCTCTGCATAAGGCCTTTAGGGTTTAGGGTTGCGCAGTTTTAGGGCAGGGGTTTAGGGTTGGTTTTTGTGCATAAGGGCTTCAGGGTTTTTCGGGGGGTTTGGGGTTTCAGGGTATTGGGGTTTTCAGATCAGATTTAGGGTTTGAGGGTTTCGGTTTAGGGTAGAAGGGTTTTTCGAGCTGAGGGCAGAGGGCCTTTTAGGGTTTTGGGGTTGTAGGCCGGGGTGTTAGGGCTGTAGGGCTTTAGTTAAGGGGTATAAACACGTATTCCCCTATAATGCCCCTATGCATACCTTCTATAGTCCATACCCCTAAGTCCCTAAGTAGGCCCTAAATAACCCCCTACAAAGCCCCTAAACCCTAAACCCTAAACCCTAAACTCCCTAAACCCTACTTTAAACCCCAAACCCCTGAAAAGCCCAAATAAACCTTAAGGTCCCTTGTAAGGGTCCCTCCTGTAGTCCCTTGATTGAGGATTTACGGTGCAGGGTGTCCTGTAAACCAGAAGTAACCAGCCGACTGCCGGTTGCTGCAAAACCAGGGAGGTGCTAAGATACAAAAATTCTGAGTCCTTGGGTTAGGGTTTAGGGTTTAGGGTTTCGGGTTTAGGGTTTAGGGTGTAGGGTTTAGGGTTTATATAGGGTTGAGGGTTGAGGGTTGAAGGTTGAGGGTTGAGGGTCGAGGGTCGAGTGTGAGGGGTTAGGGTTTAACGTTTAGGGTTTAGGACGGATGCCGGATTTGGGGCGAATGGGGTGTCTTGGAGGTTTAGGAGGCAGGGCTTCGATTCTTCGTACCCCCAAAAAGACACCCTGTATACACACGCAGCATTTCTATAAGGAAGCCTAAGTACACTCGCCAGTACCAGCAAGCCTGAACCCTGATCCCTGAACCCTCGGAGCCAGGATAAACAGAAATTGTATGTCATTCACTGAGAACTTGCAATTTCAAGGGGCTACCAGAATCCTTCAATGTCTCAGAGCTTGCAATTTCGACGGGCTACATAATCTTCCTTTTCTCAGAGCTGCAATTCCGAGCTGCAATAATCCTTCAAAGAACCACAAGGCCAAAAGGCTTCAAGTGACAGGTCTTCAAGGCACCACCAGCCCAAACAGAAACCTTCGTTCAAAACCTTTCCCTCAAAACCTTTCGTTCAAAACCCGTCGTTCAATGCTTTCATGCCAACCTTCTGGGCAAGGCCTCTCCAAGCCTGGTACATCACAACAGGAATCCCATTCAAACAGCGAAAAAAACACAAAATAAACAACACCCGACAGTACCCGTCAAATCTCCGGACGCAAGCCCTGTACAGTTTCTATATAAACCCTAAATCCTGCTTCGTAGGGCCTGCAGTGCTTGCAGAAGGGTTTTGAGAGGGGGTTCAGGCTTGCATGTCTTATGGGGATTGGGATGCCGCCCCCTAAACCCTAGACCCTAGACCCCAGACCTTAAACCCTAAACCCTAAACCCTAAACCCTAAACCCTAAACCCTAAACCCTAAACCCTAAACCCTAAACCCTAAACCCTAAACCCTAAACCCCAAACCGGACCCCAAACCCTAAGCCAAGATCTGTCCGGCGGCAAGTAGTTCCATGCAATCTTGGCCGGATCAATGACAAGACCTTATAGGGTTCTTAAGGGGAGGTTTAGGGTTTAGGGTTTAGGGTTTAGGGTTTGGGGTTTAGGGGGGGACCAAAGGCTCCCTAATACTACTCCCTAAGGCTCCCAAAGCTTCGCTAAGTTTCCCTAGGTACCTACCTCCCGCGAACAGCCCTCCCGCGTCCTTTTGGGCTGTAGGGTTTAAGTTTTTGAGGCTCAGGGTCTAAAAACCTAAACCGTCAACCCTAAACCCTCGACCCTAGACCCTAATATGGGCATCTTCAGTACCGAAGCATGGGCTGTCACATGAAAGGTCCAATCACCAGCCTAAACCCTAAGCCCGAAACCCTAAACCCTAACCCCTGAAAATCTTCCCCCGCGAAGTGCACCTGTTCGTTGAAGCTGTGACCCTAAACCCTAAACCCTAAACCCCAAACCCCAAACCCTAAACCCTAAACAGGGCGGTTTGTTGGCTGAAAGGAGCTTGAGGAGCTTTTAGGGTTTCTTAGGGGCTCCCGGGCCCCAGATTCTAAGGTTTAGGGCTTGGGGTTTAGGGTTTAGGGCTTAGGGTTTAGGGCTTAGGGTTTAGGGCTTAGGGTTTAGGGTTCAGGGTTTAGGACTTAGGGTTTAGAGTGCTAGGAATTGGGGACCTGCTTAAAGCGCTTAAGGCCAGAAAGGACCCCGTAATCCTAAACTCTCGACTCTACCTTTGGGCCTTGAACTATCTTGAACCCCAAAGCCTTGAGGCCCCTAAACTGCCCTAACCCTAAACCCTAAACCCTAAACCCTAAACCCTGAACCCGAAACCCTAAACCCTAAACCCTAAACCCTAAACCTTACACCCTAACACCCTAGCACCCTAGCACCCTCTAAAGCAAAGGATTGGTAGAGGCAACCAGGTGGCTTCCCTTCTCGAAGTAGGCGGTGCGGAAGGAGGCCAAGATATCCTTGCTCAGGGTCAAGCTGGTTTACGGTTTAGGGTTTAGGATTTAGGGTTTATATACGTTTAGGGTTTAGGAGTTACGTTTAGGTTAGGGCTTAGGGTTCAGAAACCCTAAACCCTAAACCCTAAACCCTAAACCCTAAACCCTAAACCCTAAACCCTAAAGGCTAAATTGCTCGAAGCCCTGATTCAGCGCGAAAACCATGATGATCCCGTTAATTGAGCCAAGGCCTCGCTTCAGAGTGGGGGTGTGCAGAGCTGCTCGTACCCGGAGAGAAGTAGCCGATCTCACTTCTGAGCCCCTAGTAGCCCTAAACCCTAAACCCGAATGATTTAGGGTTTAGGGTTTAGGGCTACTAGGGAATTTTGGAACCAAAACTCTCCTTAACTCCATTCAGTGTGGTTTTTTGGGGCATCTCATTCCATACCTGCACTGGGGCCCCCTGATCTCTCGATTTAGGGTTCAAGGTTCGGGTTTCGGGTTCAGGGTTATAGGTTGTGATGCTTCCCTTATACGAGCAGTCCTTAGTAGGGATCATAGTAGGGGGTTCTATAATCCCTATTAAGGCCTGCGAGTATAAGGGGGAATATCCAAAAGTTATAGGGCATAAGGTTTAAGGCTGTGGAAGCAAGCCTCGCAGCTTCCTTGGGGTCCAGCGTGTGGCGCTGTGGTACATGCAAGAGCCCAAACCCACAAGCCCAAACCTTAAACCCTAAACCCTAAACCCAATGCCCATCCCAAAACTATTGCGGAGAGGCTTGGGAAAGTAGAACCCTTACTTTACGATGTTGCCATCTGACAAATATTTCTCAATATGACTATCTTAGGTACCTAAGAATGCAAAGTATCGAATCGAGGCCTACCGAGCTATGTAGGGGTACTGGGTATTTTACAGGAGCTCTTTGAAAACAGGGGAGCTACTTCTTATTATCCTCTGTTCCATGCCTGACAACCAGCATAGCTGAGACCTGCTTGAAGTCTTCATACCCTAAACCCTATAAACCCTATAAACTCTATAGACTCTATAAACCCTATAAACCCTAAACCCTAAAAGCTCCAAACCCTATGACCAGCTTGAACCAAGGCGCCAAGCTCCAAAAGGTCATCGTCAGGAGTGAGATGGCCTGGAGCGTCGTATCGCCTCGCGCAGACGGCTTTGAGGGATAGAGACCCCGACAGCACGGTTCAGGGTTTAGGGTTTAGGGCTTCGTGTTAAAGAGCACCTTCAGAACATCCCAGTATTACAAGGGCACTTGTGGTTGAGCCCCCGCCCCCTCCGCAAAAAAACGAAATTGTACACACACATACATACATATATATATATATACATGTGTGTATATATCTATATACATATATACATTAATATAATATTTATTTGTTTATGTGATTTTAGATTTATATTTACATTTACATTTGCATATCTATAATTAAATTTGCATTTATATTTATATGTATATTTTTTATATTTATGTTTATATTTATCTTTGTGTTTTTATTTGTCGTTATTGTGATTATATTTCTATTTGTATAGGTACCTAAACCCTGAACCCTAAACACATTTAGAGTCTGACGTTTGGGGTTCTCGGTTTGCGGCGAGGCTGGAGAGTGCTCGGGTTTAGGGTTTAGGGTTTAGGGTTTAGGGTTTAGGGTTTAGGGTTTAGGGTTTCGGGTGGCTCGTGGCGTTGCCACGGGTTGCAATAGATTTGGGGTTTGGGTTTCGGGCTTCAGCGCCCGCATCTGTACTGCGTAGATGCTGCCCTTGTGTTGTACTTACTGGTTCTACGTAGCGAATGAGGCAAGTAAGTACCAACTTAACCTCGCAAAGAGGGTTTTCATTGGAGGATATACCCGAAACCCTGAACCCCGAACCCCTATTGCGCTCTTTGACATGGGCTACGGATCGCAAATCGGAGGACGTAGCTTTCAATAGGGATCTTCGGGGATCACTGTACTTCGGGTTTAGGGTTTAGGGTCCAGGGTTTGGGGTTAAAGTTTCCTGGTTGTTCCTTCTAGGGAGCGAGAGACGGAATGAGGCGCCACAACTAAACCACCATATGTAAACCCTGTAAGGGCTCATTTTCGGTGCCGACTTCCCTCATTCCCTGCTAAGAACCAGTAAGCAGAGGGAGTATAGTGTCCATCCTTAGTCTCACCCCAGGGATGGGCCTAGTCAAGGTTTAGGGCTTGGGGCTTAGGGCTTAGGGCTTGGGGTTTAGGGTTTAGGGTTTAGGGTTGAGGGTTTAGGGTTTACGGTGTAGGGTTTAGGGCTTAGGGCTTTCCCCAACTTCACCTTGCAAACCCCAAACGGACCCTGCGTGTATCTTAAGCAGGGGTCAGGTCCAGCTTGTCGGTGCTCAGTTCTAAGAAGGTTTAGGGAGTTTAGGGTTTAGAGTTTAGGGCTTTGGGTTTAGAGTTTTGGGCTTAGAGTTTAGGGAGTTTAGAGTTTAGGGTTTTGGGTTTAGAGTTTAGGGCCTAATTTCAGGCAGGGTCGTCGTCTAGATCCTCCCAGGGGTCTGGGTAATGCTGGCAATGGTGGCATCCGGGCTTCACATTGCGTGCAGAACCACCCTGAACCCAGGGAAATCACTGAAAAGGGCAGACACTCTTTCAACCTGACAGAGTCCTTCAGAAAAACACATCAACACACATCCTGACTTCCGGAAAAGTGCGCGCCAGAATCCTGTAGAATTGGCGATCGCTCTCTGTACGCTGAACCACTATGCGCCCTGTACGAACATTGCCACAAGTCATGCCCTTAGTGAAAACTTAGTTGTCCAGTACCAAAAGGTTAAAGATTATTACCTACTCTACTACTTTAATAAGTTGAGATGCTTTCGAAAATACACTTACAAATAAGTTAAGAATATGTCGAGCCGAGCGTGGCACTCGCAAGTTCATGCGCGCACATCAACACGCTCACAGAGTTTCTGACACAACTCAAACCCGGTGCAGATATCCCTAAAACACGAAGTAAACAACAGGCAACCTATAGGCCATTCTCACCCTAAACCCTAAACCCGAAACCCTAAACCCGTAAACTAGGATCAGGTTCAGGAACCCTGACAAGCTGTCGCAGTTGTCGTTGCCTATTGGAAGAATGTTTTGCGCTTTTGAGGGGTTCTTCAGGCAAATCCTAGTTCCCTTCCTAAACCCTGAACCCCAAACCACAAACCCCAAACCCTAAACCCCAAACCATAAACCCTAAACCCACACACTCCCTTGAATCAGCCAGGTCACGGGGGAGGTCAAAGAGCTGCAGTGGGACCACCGTGATGTCCAAGATAACACCTGAAGTGCGCTTAGGGTCTGGGGGGGGTTCACTTACCCTCTAAACTTAAGAAAGAGTTTAGGGTTTAGGGTTTAGGGTTCAGGGTTCAGGGTTCAGGGTTTAGGGTTTAGAGTTCAGGCTTTAGGGTTTAGATAGCATTGAAAGCTGCTAGTGGTCAAAGGCTGCCGACCCAGCAGCCAAGTTTACAGGCCATACCTCCTTCTGCAACGCTTACACTCTGGTCAGGAGCATTTGAAACCCACAGCCCTAAGCCCTAAACCCTGCCCTAACGCCGCGTGTTTGATGTTCGGGGTGGGGTTGCGTGGCCCACAATGCTAACCCTAAACCCTAAACCCTAAACCCTAAACCCTAAACCCTAAACCCTAAACCCTAAACCCTAAACCCTAAACCCTAAACCCTACACCATGCTGCCGTGCCGCAGATCATTCTTATGGCATCGAAGATAGCTCGGACTTTGCTTCCAGGGGTGATGGTAAACCTGCGCCGGGAAGGGTTTAGGGGTTAGGGTTTAGGGTCTAGGGTCTAGGGTCTAGGTTCTAGGGTTTAGGGTTTAGGGTCTAGGGTCTAGGTTCTAGGGTTTAGGGTTTAGGGTCTAGGGTCTAGGGTCTAGGGTTTAGGGTCTAGGCTCTAGGGTCTAGGGTTTAGGGTCTAGGCTCTAGGGTCTAGGTTTAGGGTCTAGGGTTAGGGTTTAGGGTTTAGGGTTAGGATTTAAGATTTAGGGTTTAGGCTTTATTAGGACAGGCATCCTACATGAACCACCCATCGCAAGGCCAAACAAGAACCGTCGTTTTTGACTCTGGGACAGTTCGGCCTAACCCCTAAACCTTAAACCCTGCTAATCTGGGCAGCAAACCCTCAACTCTGAGTAATTACCCCAAACCACACCCCCCATGGCCTCCGGGAAGAAAGGCTGCAACAGTGCCGGCTCCTCTCCCTCTCTGACATCTGGCGGCGGTTTGAGGGCTCAAGGCCCTCAACCCTAACCCTAAACCCTAAACACTAAACCCTAAACCCTAAACCCCAAGGGAAGCAGTCCCCATACAACAAAATTGATTTTGCTACGCAGGGCTCTGGTGACTTAGGGTTTGGGTCAGGGTTTAGGGTTGAGGATTTGGGGCTTCAGAGGGCGGAGGATTATAGGATTTAGGGTTTTAGGCGCCCTAAGCCCTAAGCCCTGAGCCCTAAGCCCTAAACCCTAAACCCTTAGGAAGGGTTTGTAGAGTTTAAGAGTTTGCGGTTATGTGCTTTCGGGGGCTAGGGGTTGAGGCTTATGGGGGTATAATTTTGAGCGTCTTACAGGCTTGACCCCGATTCCCCAGGTACCTAAAGCGGGGCCCGCTTTAGGGTTTAGGGTTTAGGGTTTAGGGTTTAGAGTTTAGGGTTTAGGGTTCGGGGGTGCTGGTGTCAATGTCACAGCTAGGAACCTGAATCCTCAACCCTTCTGAGCCCTAAACCCTGGCACCCCAAACACCAAGCGCCGATTCCCCAGTTTCAAACCTTAAAACGAGCCTTCCCGCAGATTGTTAGACCAGAACCCCCTGTAGGAGTGTAGGATTAGGGTCCAGGGCTCGGAGCACATCCCCCTAAGAATAAAGGAATGATGGTACTGGGCCTAGGGTGTAGAAATTGGAGCCGAGGGCTTAGGGCTTCTACCCCTGCCCTAAAAGAAAACCAAACTGCGCTGGCAGGCAGTGCTTTCTTTGAACGCTACATCCCTAAATTCCTCCAAACCGTGACACCCTAAACCCAAGCCCCTACATCCCTAAATTCCTCCAAACCCTGAGCCCCACCTGACACCCTAAACCCAAGCCCCTACATCCCTAAATTCCTCCTAATCCCTAAACCCTAAACCCTAAACCCAAAACCCTAAACCCTAAACCCTAAATACTAAACCCTAACCCTAAACCCTAAACCCTAAATCCTAAACCCTAAACCCTAAACCCGTACCCCTAAACCCTAAACCCCAAACCCTTTTGAACCCATCGTCTGGTGCCACCTCGTCAAGGCGCATCTGCGTCTGGCTGGGGCCTTCCGCTCTTGGAGGGCTCTTCTTTAGGGTTTAGGGTTTCGGGTTTCGGGTTTAGGGTTTAGGGTTGCGGGTTTAGGGTTTAGTGTTTAGGGCTTAGGGATTCGGGCTTCGGGCTTCCCCTACATCGACCTTGCCAGGGTTCAGGGGTTTAGGGCTTGGGGGGGGGGGGTGAAAAGGTACCTGATTTTCCTAGTAAGAACGAGTAAGCACGACTGAGTCTTGCTTTGTGTTTGGGGGCGGGGGGGGGGGGTAACCCTGGAACCTAAACCCTAGAACCTAAGCCCTAAACCCTGAACCCTGAACCCTAAACCCTGAACCCTAAACCCTAAACCCACAACCGAGCCTAAAGCCTATCAACCCCATAAACCGAAAGCCCACCAAGCTAAACTCCAAACCCTCAGCCTTACAACCCTAAGACCCTATAAGCCCCCAAAACCTGTGAGCATAAACCTAAGGTAAGTACGTGGTCCCTTGCTATGGAACCTTAAAAGGGGACCCCTTATATACCCCGTATATACCCGATTAACCCAAGGGCCCTTACTTCAGAACCCTTTAAAGGAGTAAGGGCCCACGTTGAGTGACCACGTAATCACCCTTAGGTTTATGAGCCCCGAACCCAAAACACCATGAACTTCAATCCCAACATCACGCTACCAGCTCTATAACCCCTGTATTGTTCCTTACCTTCTAAGGGTTCTGAAGTATGGGCCCTTGGGTTTTTTACAGTATATTATGATGTTTTTAAGGGGTCCCCGCTTAAGGGCCCATGCTAAGGGACCATGTAACTACCCTAAGAACCCTAAAGCCGTATAAACCCTATGAACCCAAAACCATAAACCCCCAACACTTACCCGTGTGGTGTCGGTCATTTCTCCTGCTTCTAAGAGTCTAAACCATAAACCCTAAACCCTAAACCCTAGACCCTAAACCCTAAACCCTAAACCCTAAACCCTAAACCCTAGGGGTTAAGGGGTATCAGGAGGCCTTTATCTTATTCCCCTACGTAGCCCCTAAGTAACCCCCGAAGTAGACCCTAAGGTCCCTCATGAGGGTCCCTCCTTTAGTCCCTTGACTCGTTCGGGTCCTTCATACAATCAGCTCCCTCTTATAGTCCTATGTAAACCCTACACCCTACACCCTACACCCTAAACCCTAAACCCTAAACCTTAAACCCCAAACCCTAAACCCTAAACCCTAAACCCTAAACCCCTCCTCTCTGTGAGCTGGTTCTCCATGGCTGCAAATTCTCTTCGCTCAGGGCCAGGAATCGAATCTTTTGCAACAAACCGACTGCACCCAGAGTCCACTGAGTTCTCGTCCAACCTTTATTGGGTTTAGGGTTTAGGGTTTAGGGTTTAGGGTTTAGGGTTTAGGGTTTAGGGTTTAGGGTTTAGGGTTTAGGGTTTAGGGTTTAGGGTTTAGGGTTTAGGGTTTAGGGTTTAGCGTTTGAGGTTTAGGCTTTATCCGTGCGCATCACTGTTGTCCAGCTCTTGTTCCGTACGCATCACTGTTGTCAAGCTCTTGTTCAGCGCCTCCACATTGCGTTGCCTCAACAAGGCCATCCAGTAGCTGTTGGGTCCCTAAACCCTGAATCCCCATTCCCCAAAACCCTAAACCTTAAACCCTAAACCCTAAGCCTAAAGCCTAAACCCTACACACCAGACGAAACCCCAGCAACCACAGAGAAAGTTCGCAGCACGGGCCATTGTTCTTCTGCTCTCTCTTCGACAAGCTTCGCAAACCACAAAACCCTAGGGTTTAGGGTTTAGGGTTTAGGGTTTAGGGTTGAGGGTGGAGGGTTGAGGGTTGAGGGTTGAGGGCTTCGAACCCCTTAAACCGGAACAACCCCAAGGCCTGGGCGAATCTGCATCGACAAGCGCTTGGGACGGTCGCTCGTGGCGACAAAGCACTGCCGAATCCTTGGTTTGAGGTTCAGGGTTTGGGGTTCGGGCTTGGGGTTTAGGGTTTAGGGTTTAGGGTTTAGGGTTTAGGGTTTAGGGTTTAGGGTTTAGGGTTTAGGGTTTAGGGTTTAGGGTTTAGGGTTCTCGGCTGTGGCAGATGGGGATGTTGGGGTTCAGGGCTCGGGTCTACGGGATTCACTTCTGTAGGACTTAGGAGAAAGGGTTTGGGTTTCGGTTCAGGGCTTTAGGGATTTCGGGTTTAGGGTACTTTGGGAGTTGAGGGGTGGCATGTAGCAGCTTGATTAGGGTTAGGGCGCAGCATGGCAGCATGGGCCACCCTAAGAATCGTTTCTGGGAGTCCCCCGTTGCAAGTTCCAAGCTGTAGCTTTGTTGCAGCTACGTTTAATGGAGAAGGGCCGTACGTTGCACTACTCAAAATGGCAACTCCAAGATACCATGGCGGTGTATGCGATCACAAGCCTGTGCGTCTCGAATGAGGGCCTCTAAGGTATCCACTTAAGCAAAAAACAACGGGCCCGATGACTTGACATGGTTAGGTCGTCAGGAGATACACTCGACAACCATGAGCCCCAGAAGAAACAAGCTCCTCAACCCTAAAGGAGCAACTCGAAATCCTAAAACCGTGACCCTAAAAACCTGCGAAGCCCTCAACCCTGAACCCTGAACCCTAAACCCTAAACTCTAAACCCTAAACCCTGAACTAAACCCAAAACCCAAAACCCTGGACCCTGGACCCTGGACCCTGGACCCTAAAACCCTAAACCCTAAACCCTAAACTCTAACCCCCCCTCCCCCCGTCCTCCCTCGGCAAGCAAGCGGCTGGAAGTCACACTCGTCCTCAGAGCCGAACCTGGGAGTAGACATCCTAAACCCAAAAACCCTAAACCCTAGCCCTAAACCCTAAACCCTCAGCCCTAACCCTAAACCCTAAACCCTAAACCCCTCAGCCCTAAAGACCCCAAAAAAGAACAACTCCGTCCCCTGTGCTTCGTTGCCCTCATGACTTTTTATTGTTCAGGGGTTCGCGGTCTAGTTCTTAGGATCTTGGGGTTAGGGCTTAGGCCAGTTCAGGGCAAATCCTAAACCCAGAACCCCTAAACCCTAAACACCACTAAACCCACCAAACCCACTAAACCCACGAAACCTCTAAACCCCTAAACCCCTAAACCCTAAACCCCTAGACCCCTAAAGGCCCCAAGATGGCAAGCAGAGGCGCTTGTCGCTCATGTTGTCCGAGCTCTTGCTTCGCTCCGACACCGTCGCTACCGTCATGCCAATCCTCAGCGTTTTCGGCGTGCTTACTGGCTTTGTGGGGGTTTAGGGTTTAGGGCTAGCCCTAAACCCTAAACCCTAAACTCTGAACCCTGAACCCTGAACCCTATATAAACCCTAAACCCTAAATCCCAACATCTGAAGGGCTCAGGGCTCATGGGGTTGAGGTCTGCGGCTCATGGGTTCGGAGATGTAGTTGGTTTAGGGGAGTTTAGGGCTTAGGAAAAGCAAAAAGCCTATGCCCTATGCCTATCAATTCTCAATCACCCCCCTCGCGCCACCCAAGCATGTAGCCCTAAACCCTAACCCCAATCCCCAAACCCCAAACCCCAAACCCCAAACCCTAAACCCTAAACCCTAAACCCCAAGCCCTGAACCCTGAACCCTGAAAGGTGTTCCGTTGATGTACTCCAGACTGGTCCCAACACTCCCCGACAGCTCTCCGAGTACGTCCCAAGAAGGTCGGCTTAGGGTTTAGGGTTTAGGGTTTAGGGTTCAGGGTTCAGGGTTTAGGGTTTAGGGTTTAGGGTTTAGGGTTTAGGGTTTAGGGTTTAGGGCTACATGTGGTGTAGGGTATGGATACAAGCCCTAAACCCTTAACCCTAAACCCGACCCGCCGCCACTCCCCGGCGCGGGTCGGGACCGCCGCACTTTGGAACACCCTAAACCTGAACCCTAAACCCCAAACCCTGAACCCTGAACCCTAAACCCTGAACCCTAAACCCTAAACCCTAATCCCTAAACCCTAAACCCTGAACCCGCAGCCCAAGCCAAGCTTCAACCTTAGAAGTGCAATGTCCCTTGCAAGGTTTAGGCATCTGGGCTACGCGGCTGAGAAGATTATTGGGTTTAGGGTTTAGGGTTTAGGGCTTTGCGGTTGGTGCTTTAGGGTTTAGGGCTCTAGGTCCTAAACCCTCAACCATAAACCCTGTGCAAACACTAAACCCTGTAAACCCTAAAACGTGGCTTAGGGTTATGTGTTCCAGGCTGCTTCTTCGAGACCACCCGCTCCATCTTGGCAAAGTTTTGCTGAGCAACCTTCCTGCGGTGGGGTGAGGCTTGGGGCAAAAGTTTAGGGTAGGGCTTAGGGTTTAGGGTTTAGGGTTTAGGGTTTAGGGTTTAGGGTTTAGGGTTTAGGGTTTAGGGTTTAGGGTTTAGGGTTTAGGGTTTAGGGTTTAGGGTTTAGGGTAGAATTAACCGGAGCCTGAGCCCAGTTTGAGCACTACTAAGCCCAATTAAGCCCTAAACCCTCTCATCTGATCTTATTTAGGGTTTAGGGTTTAGGGTTTAGGGTTTATGGGTTTAGGGTTTAGGGTTTAGGGTTTAGGGTTTAGGGTTTAGGGTTTAGGGTTTAGGGTTTAGGGTTTAGGGTTTAGGGTTTAGGGTTTAGGGTTTAGGGTTTAGGGGGGGCCTTTTGGGGTTAGCACAGTCAAGGAGCACATTTGTTTTGGGCTACTTGCCTTGTCGCAGGACATTTGTGAACTATGGGTACCCCACTGCTCTCTTAAAGAGCTATAAGAGGAGATATAGGGCTTACGGTCAGGGTCCCTACGAAGAAGTAGGAACTAGGGCTACATGCGCGAGGGTAGTTTGCGATACAATGGCAGGGACACGGCTACGAGCCTCGGGGGCGGGGGGGGTTCAGGTTGCGTTTTGGGTTTAGTTAGGGTTCACGGTTTAGGGTTGGGTTTACGTTTTTTTATTTAGGGTTTTGGGGTTGAGTGTTTAGGGTTCAGGGTTCTGCCCAGAGGACCTCAGGGTTTTTGGAATAGATGTGAGCTTGTTTGTACAGCTTCCTTGCACAAGCCCTGACGACTTCGGCCCTGTGGGTCCTCATAGTTGTTCAGGGCTTCGGGTTTGCCATTTGACAACAACTTTGAGAATGTCCCTAAACCCTAAACCCTAAACCCTGAACCCTAAACCCCGAACCCTAGACCCTAAACCCTGGTTGTAGATTCCTTCAGGGATGCAGGCACCATGGTTGGGTCTGGGGTGGGTTCCATCAGGCATGTTTGCGTCTTGTTTTGGGGGGGGGGGGGGGGCCTGAACCCTTTAAACGCCAAACCCTAACCCTAAACCCTAAACCCCAAACCCCAAACCCCAAACCCTAAACCCCAAACCCTAAACCCTAGCCCTAAACCCTAAACCCGAACCCCGCAACTTCGTAAAGCTGCAAGGGGCTGCAAGGTCCAGGGAGATCCCCCAAGAAATGACATGAGCTTTACAGCTTTGCAATGCAAATCAAGGGACCAAAGCAGGGACCCTTATATCGGAACTTAGGGGTTGTTTAGGGGGTTTAGGGTAAGTGTTCAGGGTTCAGGGTTCAAGGTTCAGGGTTCAGGGTTTAGGGTTTAGGGTTTAGGGGCTACTTAGGTATATAGGGACTATATACGGTGTGTATATATATATATATATATAGGGGATATATAGGGGAGTTAGATTTTTTGGCCCCTCCTTCCACCCCTTAAGCAAGGAGGTCGGCTGGTAGGGTGCTGTGTTAGGGCTCCAGAAGTTTTCGGGCTGAACCGCTTGGTTTCGGGGATTCTGAACCTAAACCCTGACCGAACCCTAAACCCTAAACCCTAAACCCTAAACCCTAAACCCTAAACCCTAAACCCTAAACCCTAAACCCTAAACCCTAAACCCTAAACCCTAAACCCTAAACCCTAAACCCTCGGGGTGCGTGGTTGATGCTAGTGCCCCAGCCGAGGACCATGTCCGGGGACCTGTCGTCATCGAACTTGGTCTGGAAAATGATACTTTCCTGCCATGGCTTAGGGTTTAGGGTTTAGGGTTTGGGGTTTAGGGTTTAGGGTTTAGGGTTTGGGGTTTAGGGTTTAGGGTTTAGGGTTTAGGGTTTAGGGTTTAGGGTTTAGGGTTTAGGGTTTAGGGGAAAACTTGCGGGCAGTGTAAAAATCGAAAGTTCTATAGGGGTTTGTCTTGGGTAATATGGGAGCTTTCCGAAAATTAGAGGTCACTTTGTGAGCTCTCCTACAACACGGAGCCATACGTAGAATACCCAACACGGGCACCCCAAATTAACCCTAAACCCTAAATCCTAAACCCTAAACCCTAAACCCTAAAATGAGACTCATTCGGAATCCCCAAAAATCCTCAACCCTAACCTTATGGCCCCAATTACTCTTCTTATAAGATCTGAGATTCTTGACCTACTTGCTGAGTACCCTGGGCACAAAAAGGTTAACCTTTGAATTCTCGTAGGGTTCTGTCTACCCCGAACGGTGCCTACTCAGCTACGAAGATACGGAAACCCCTGCAAAAGCATATACCCTCAACCCTAAACACAAACTGTTGACCCTAAACCTCAAAACCCTAAGCCCAAGTTAACAGTGCCCGGGAGTTTTCGGGGGGGGGGGGGGGGGGGGGGGGGGGGGGGGGGGGGGGGGGGGGGGGGGGGTGCGGTGGTTGCGAAGTTTGGTTCAGGGTTTAGGGTTTATGGTTTAAGATTTAGGTTTAGGGTTTAGGGTTTAGGGCTTCGGGTTAGGATTTCGGGCACGGTTGGTTGGGGGTTCCGGGCTTGGGGATTTGTGGGGTATATCAGAAGGGATTACCCTAAACCATGCCGTCCCCCAAGATCCCTGCTGTTGGCTTAGTGAAGGTTTGGCCCAAAAACCCTCAACCCTCAACCCTCAAACCCTAAACTTTAAACACCTAGCTCTAAGCCCTAAACCAGAGACCCTGCTCTCAAAAAATGCCAGGCCTTTCAAGACCAAAATAGGGGTTTAGGGCTTATAGTTCAGGGTTTAGGGTTTAGTGTTTAGGGTTTGGGGCTTGCACAAATATGATTAACTATGACATGCTGGCGGGTAAACTTTGGGAGGAGGGAGAGGGTTAACCGCAAGCGAAAGCGGACTACTTTGGATTTAATACATATGTGTCGAGTAAACTAGATGTAATATACGAAAAGGAAATGTACCTGTAGCTCCCTGTTTCAGCGTATACCAGCGCTTGTCATTGTAGGCCCCTCCCCCTTCCCCGACCTGCAGCGACTGGCGGCGCGGGCGGCCAATCCGTGTGCCTGCACCGCTGCAAAAGCAAATGGGTTTTCTAAACCAAAACCCTAAACCCTAAGCCAAAAAAAAAAACGCCCCCAACCCCTAAACCTCCCAAACCCTAACCCCTAAACTCTCAGCCCCAAACCCCCTAAACCCCTGAGCCCTAAACCTTAACCCCCCTATATTTTCAACCTCCTAAACCCCCTAAACCTCCCCAACCCTAAACCCTAAACCCTAAACCCTAAACCCTAAACCCTAAACCCTAAACCCTAAACCCTAAACCCTAAACCCTAAACCCTAAACCCTAAACCCTAAACCCTAAACCCTGAACCCTGAACCCTGAACCCTGAACCCTGAACCCTGAACCCTGAACCCTGAACCCTAAATAAAAGCCCCTAAATCCCCTCCTAAAACCCTAAACTCCAGGGGCCGAGGGCGCCTGTCTCGATCCGCTCAGGGCGGGTCTCTTCGAAGTTGCCAAAGGAGGCTGCGATTGGGGTACCCAGCCTGGAAACTTTACCGGAAGAATAGGGGGGCGGGGTTTAGGGTTTAGGGTTTAGGGTTTAGGGTTTAGGGTTTAGGGTTTAGGGTCTGGGGGTGTAGGGTTTAGGGTATAGGGTCTAGGCTTGAGGGTTTTCTGGATTCAGAGTTTGAGGGTTTAGGGCTATAGGCTTTGGGGTTTTAGAGTTTGAGCGGTTTATAGGGCTTAAGGGACTCTAGGCGTTTAGGGTCTCGAGTTTGAGGGTGTGCTGGTTGTAGGCTTTAGAGTTTTAGGGTTTCTGGTGTTTGAGTTTCAGGACCTAGAGTTGGTTTTCAGGGTTTAGGGGTTTAGGGTTTTAGGGCTTTAGGGGGGTAGGGTTTAGGGTTGTCAGGTTTGGGCTCAAAGGGTCTTAGGAGTTTAGGTTTCAGGGTTGAGGGTAGTAAGGCTAGGTCGCACAAGCCAGATAAGCACAATAGTGGTCTTTAAGGCTGCACCTTTCGCACTCGGCGTTGCGAAAGCTACGCCCCACTGGGTATATAAGGCCCCACAGCCTCCTCTACTACTATTTGCTTAAGAACCCCAAAAGAATAAACATAATAATCCCTATATTACCCTTTATAAGGAAGAACATGTCTTGTTTTTGTTCGGGGTTTGCAAGCAATTAGTAGTCTAAGCTGACTGAATTTCTTGCGACCCTATCTGGCAGGGTTGGGGGGGGGACGAGGGAGTGTACAACCGTATTCCCCCCCCCCCATATTCATGTACTAGGGTTCGGAGACTGTGGAAAGGAAGCTGGATAACCCTAAACCCTAAACCCAGAAAACAGTGTAGGGCATTAACCCTAAACCCTAAACCCAGAAAACAGTGTAGGGCATAGAGGGCTCTCTGGCCCCATTGAGGCCTTCTTTGTGGAATCCAGCGAAGTTCCAAACTTGCGAATCACCCGCTAAACCCTAAACCCTAAACCCTAAACCCTAAACCCTCAACCCGCAACCCTCAACCCTCAACCCTCAAGCCTAAAGCCTAAAGCCTAAAGCCTAAACCTTAAACCCTCAACCCACCCTTCAAGACCCTGAAACCTCAAAGGCCTCTAGGCAAAAGCTCCGCCTGACCTCCTTGGGTTGAAAGTTTGTCCGAGAAGCCCTACACGACTCGAAGACCAAGCCCCTGCAAACCTTATAAACCCTACATGACCCGAAGCCCTTAGGATTTAGGGTTCAGGGGTTTAGGGTTTAGGGTCTAGCCCTAAACCCTACCACCCTGTCAACCCTATAAACCCTACCCCCCTCCGCTCCTTTGGAGTTCGGCAGTCGGCGGCTTTGGCACTGCTGGCGGAGTTGGGAGAAGGAAGTGCGGTTTAGGGTTTAGGGTTTAGGGTTTTAGGAATTAGGGTTTAGGGTTTAGGGTTTAGGGGTTCGGGTTTAGGGTTTACGGCTTAGGGTTTGGGGTTGAGCACTCTAGTGACATGATTCAGAAAGACGTGTCGGTCTTACCTGCCCACGCAAGACGGTTCGGGAAGCATCTACTTATATCCTTCAGCAGCTCTTCAAGAAGAGTGAGGGTTAGCCCAACTGCCAGCAACAACTGGGGTGTTAGTTCTAACGGCAATCCCACTTGCGACACTTGTGTACCTGCTAACGAAGTAACCCCCTAGCAGCTAACAGCTAAGTCACCAAGAAACAAAAACCTAAACCCTAAACCCTAAACCCTAACCCGAAAACAGTGCTCACGTCCGATTTGAGGAGGCAGCTCTGCAATGTCCAGTACATGCAGAAAGGACGCGCTACGTGCTTCCATCTCTAAAACACGTTGTCGCTCTTACTTTTTTAACCACCTTGAAAGGTGCAGGCACCCTCATGCATGTCACAGCGATGTCCACATTCGCGCTCCGCACCTTTCCAGAGCTCCACTACGAATACTTTCCGATGCCCGGATATGACTGGAGTGACGTGGTGCCGCTTGTGGCCAAGAAATACCAATGCGTCGCCTTGGTTGAACCGATGTCTTCGAATGCGCCCATGCCTTTCAACTGTTTGGAAATGACCTCCAGATTTCGGCTCACTCAGCATGACGTCGATGGTGATCAGGGACCCAACATCAAAATGGTTCAGGTCGCGCAACCCTCCACCTGGTAGCATTTCATGAAACTCCGCACAGCGTATTGCGACAGATTGCGGCCAAGGAAGTTCCCTTCTACCGCGGCCCTCATTGGAAAGCTTGCCTGCGCAGGCATTTGGCAGCAATACGTTCCAGTCCTCTCGAGCATCAACTGCAAGCGCAAGAGCCAAAATTCTAGATCTCAGCCATGCAAATCGGGCCTTGAACAAGCCATGGGTATTGACATACTTTGTGCAATGTACTGCTCTATCGCCATCCCAGTCATCTGGCTCGCTTGTGTACGGTTGAAGCGGGAGCCGGGCCAACTCGTATCTCAACCGCTCTGCACGCCGAGAAGACAGGAAGCCCTTGCACGTCACGACGCGCGTAAGCTCAGCTTCCGAGGTCGTAGGAGGCGTGAATTCCGCTGCTTGAGAACGGCGATGCTTCCAGAGCCGCTTTCTAAGGAGCTCCCAGCGCCGGAATGATCTGCTGCGGTGGGAGGGATCTTTGAAGTGACGTTTGAAGAACTTTGTTGCCATGGGCCTAGGGTTTAGGGTTTAGGGTTTAGGGTTTGAAGAACTTTGTTGCCATGCAGTACGGGGGATTCCGAAAATGGGGGGGGGGGGTGCCTTTTTTGCGGGGTCGGGGATTCTATTCTATTTGGGGTATCAAAGGCCTAAACCTAGACTAAGCTGTTAACCTACTAGGTTGCCCAGTAACCTAGGATGAAAAAGGGTGCCCCATTTTTGCTTAAAGGGGTTTAGAAGGGAACCTAAACCTACCAAAAAGGGAATAAGGGTACTACTGTGCATCCTAGCCTAGGGGACCAGCTACAGACCTCAGCGCCAAGAACCGAAGACGGCGATCTGCGCCGAGCGTGGCGGAGTTGTAGATTCTGGGATGCTTGGGTCCGAAACCCTAAACCCTAAACCCTGCACCCTAAACCCTAAACCCTAACCCTAAACCCTAAACACTAAACCCAGCTTCTGTCATGGAACCCGCTTGACAAGCACACAATGAAGAAGATCATCCCGAAGCAACAATGGGTTCATGCAGGAACACGGGTGGGTCCTAAAGGAGGCCTTCCTTAATCCGCACCAGTTGAGGATGCGTGAAAACCCCCTAGGGTTTAGGGTTTAGGGTTTAGGGTTTAGGGTTTAGGGTTTAGGGTTTAGGGTTTAGGGTTTAGGGTTTAGGGTTTAGGGTTTAAACCCTAAACCCTGGACCCTGGCCCTGGACTCTAAACCCTAAACCATATCCCTGAACTACGTATTTGTCTTTTTGTTTGCTCTTATCGTTTTCTCGAGTCTTAGCATTCTCCTGAACGCTATCGCTCTTTTTTGCTCTTATCGTTGTTCCGAGCAAGACGCGCATCTGATCATTTCGGGGCGCTTCCCTTTACTTTTCAATGCCGGGGGTTTTATCATCCCTCAGTTTGTTTTCTCTGCACAGGGTTTGGGGCTGAGGGGTCAGGGTGAAGGGTTGAGGGTTGAGGGTTGAGGGTTGAGGGTTGAGGGTTGGGGGTTTAGGGTTTGGGGTTTAGGGTTTAGGGTTGAGGGTTTAGGGTTTATCTATCTTCGACGCGTGGTCAACCCTCCGGCCTGCCGTGGCCGACCTGACACGATAGGACCTCCGGCTCATGGCCGCCAAGCCCAAGCCTGCCAGTTCGGGGTTCAGGATTCAGGGATCAGGGTTTAGGGTTCAGGGTTTAGGGTTTAGGGTTAAGGGATAAGGGTTTAGGGTTTAGGGTTTAGGGTTAAGGGTTTAGGGCTTAGGGTTCAGGGTTTAGGGTTTAGGGTTTCGGGCTTCAGATATGTCAAGCCCCTCGCCCTAAGCCCTAAGCCCTAGATCTCACTTCTGTCCCATGCAGAGCACAGGCAGGTAGACCCTAAACCCTAAACCCTGAATCCTTTCAACAAATTGAACAGATCTTATTTTGCCAAGGTTGCTACTAGGTTGCTTCGGAACCCGCGTCACTCCATGCCTGCAAGAGTCCCTTGGAATGTGCGACCCCTGCAAGGCCCAGGAACAAACAACCCTAAACCCTAAACCCTAAACCCTAAACCCTAAAGCCTAAAGCCTAAAGCCCTAAACCCTAAACCCTAAACCCGAAACCCTAAACCCTAAACCGCACCCCGCCCGAGCCCTTACTATATCATTGGGGTGTAGGGATGAGGTTTAACTAATTGTCCCCCCCCCCCCCGAAGCCCTAAGCCCTAAACTATGCTTTCTACTAGCCTTATGACCCAAACTTAGAGGGTCCTTAAAGGAGATGTGCAAGAAGGGTATGTAACGGAAGGTTGCCTAATACTCCCCACTACTCGCTCAGGCTGCTTACCGGAGCTTTCCTAGGTGCCTCCCCCCCATGAACCACCCTAAACCCTAAACCCTAAACCCAAAACCCCCCAAAACCCATAGTCCACCCCTAAACCCTAAACCCTATACGCCTCACAGTCAGCCTTTCCCGCCCAGAAAGAAAGCAACAACCTCACATGCAACAAGTAGGCTCGAAGGCTCGTGAGGCCTCTTCTTTCCGTTTCTGATGGTTTAAGAGGTCTCAGGTTTGGGTGTGCTGGTGTTCGAAGAAATCCTGGAGGAAACCCTAAACTGTAAACCGTAAACCCTAAGCCCGAAGCCCCAAACCCCAAACCCCAAACCCTAAACCCCAAACCCTAAACCAATACTTGGGAAGGGGCTGGAGCCGAAACCCCTCCTAGCCCATGCCCTACGCGGCGCAACCCTAAACCCTAAACCCTAAACCCCAAACCCGAAACCCTAAACCCTAAACCCTAAACCCTAAACACTAAACCCTAAACCCTAAACCCGAAACCCTAAACCCTAAGCCCTCAACTCTAATGCTCCAAGGACCCTTGTTCCAAGGTTTGGAGCCCTAAGGCCTCATTCTCAAAAGGTTTTTGGGCTACTTTGAGCCTAAGGGCTATATGTATACTTATATATATATATTCTTATATATATATTTATAGATAGATAGATAGATAGATAGACAGATAGATATGCATTTTTGTATACATATATACACACTTTATATATATATATATATATATACATCTGCACATCCATGCCCATGAATATATACATGTGTGCTATAGGTTGCTAGGTTGGGTTTCGGGTTGGGGCGTCAGCTTTTGCGACCGTAAGGCCTGTGTTGCTGAGTAACCGGGGCCCATTATGGTAGGATTATAGATACCCCCCGGTTTAGGGTTTAGGGTTTAGGGTTTCGGGTTTAGGGTTCAACACCGGGTTTGAGGTCAAAGGATACCTGCTCAGCTACTAAGAAGAGGATTCATGATACCCCAAAGGTTGACGACTCAGCGCCGAGGTTCACTATACCACGCGGCCACGAAACTTCCTAGACTCCATAATCCCCGAGCCTTGAACTCACTAGTACCCTAAACCCTAACCCTAAACCCTCAACCCTCACAAGTGATAGCTCGCCTTGCTGGTGGGACGGCACCCGACTTGGTCCTGACAGGACACCCCAAACGCGAAAACCGGAATCGAGTCTGGCGTTTCAGGGTTTGGGGATATTTAGGTTTTAGGGTTGAGGGTTTAGGGTGTAGGGTTCTCATCTTATGATCAAATTTCCAAAGGGGGTTTAGGGTTTAGGGTTTTAGGGTTTTAGGGTTTAGGGTTTAGGGTTTAGGGTTTAGGGTTTAGGGATATTCGAGGCTCGGGATGCCGCACTACTGCCCAGAAGCTCCAAATGAGGCCGACTTTCTTAGTAACCCCTTTAGAACTCCCGACCGACCCTGGCTTGAGGACCTGAGCACCACGCCCGAAATCTACAACCCCAAAACCCTAAAACCCTCAAACCCTAAGATCCTAAAACCCTAAAACCCTAAAACCCTAAAACTCTAAAACCCTGAAGCCCTAAAACCCTCAAACCCTCAAACCCTAAAACTGAAACCCTAAACCCCGAAACCCCAAAACCCCAAAACCCCAAAACCCTAAAACCCTAAAACCCTAAAGCCCTAAAACTCTAAAACCCTGAAGCCCTAAAACCCTCAAACCCTCAAACCCTAAAACTGAAACCCTAAACCCTAAACCCTAAACCCTAAACCCTGAACCCTAAACCCTAAACCCTAAACCCTAAACCCTAAACCCTAAACCCTAAACCCTAAACCCTAAACCCTAAACCCTTGCGCAAGCACTAAGGCTTAAAGTTGATCCTTTGTTTGTTAGGGCTTCAGGCTTAGAAGAGTTTTGGGGTTCAGGGTTTGCATGGCCTCATGATGCCCAAGGCTTCTTTCTTCGATTCGGATTGCGGGTTTAGGGCTTAGGGCTTAGGGCTTAGGGCTTAGGGCTTAGGGTTTAGGGTTTAGGGTTTAGGGTTTAGGGCTTAGGGCTTAGGGCTTCCAGTGAAAGTTCCAAGCTGCTGGTCCCAACTTGTTTAGGGTTCAGGGCTTAAAGTTTAGGGCTTAGAGTTTAGGACTTCTTTTTTGCCCCTTCCACTGCACTCGACTCAACTCCACGTAAACGTGGAGTCCCAAAACCCTGAGGCCATAGTCTTAAACTCAACACCTTCAGGCCCGGAGACTAAGACGAAGAACCCCAGACCAACCTCTTCCAAACTTGTATGAATCTTGAATCTGAACGTGAAGTATCCTAAACACTACACCTTCAACCGCCTAAACCCTAAACTCTAAACCCTAAACCCTAAGCCCTAAACCCTAAGCCCTAAACCCTAAACCCAAGTACTCTCCAAATTCGCCCCAGCCAGCCTCCCAGGGGAGTATGCCCGGTAGTGACCTTAAAGGGCTCCCCTTTTTGTAGAGGCTTCAGAGTTTCGGGAAATGGGACTACGGTTATTAAGGTCGCGCCTCTCCTGGCTTGTAATTGTAGGGGCTTTGGGTTCGGAGTCTTGAAGGTACCGGTTTGAGGGTTTAGTGTTTAGGGTTTCAGGGCTTCGTTTTTGGGCTTGGGGTTCTTGTTGACTCCTCTCCACTTCATCAATGCACTCATGGATGTCCTTCACACGGGGTATATACTTCTAAGACAGCCCGAAAAAACCCTAAACCCTAAACCCTAAACCCTAAACCCTAAACCCCAAACCCCTATGCCCGACCCTCAACCCTAATTCCTAAACCCTAAACCTAGATTCGTAAACCCCCATTGAATACCCCAAATGTTGTGAACCCCCAGATATCTTTCCGTCGTCTGCGATGGGCCACGCTACACCCCGCGTTGGGCCAGCCCGAGGCCGAGGCTGCGGGCGCAAGCGTTTAGGGCTTAGGGCTTAGGGCTTAGGGCTTAGGGCTTAGGGCTTAGGGCTTAGGGCTTGGGGCTTAGGGCTTAGGGCTTAGGGCCTGGGGCTTAGGGCTTGGGGCTTAGGGCTTAGGGTTTAGAGCTTAGGGCTTAGGCCTTGGGGCTTAGGGTTTTGGGTTGAGGGTGTTTACAAATATAGGGTTTAAGAGTCCAAAAACCCTACTTTGGAGTAGACCCTGGAAACAAGTATACACTTTTTGGGTATAAGTAGCTAGAATAGGAACCCAAAAACACCCAAATGTTAAAGCATAGTACTCCCGAAAACAAGGAGCCGATGCTTCGCATTGGAACACCTAGGCTCGCAGCCTGAAAACCTCCTGCCAAGATTTGCTGAAGGATGCATCGGGAAAGAAGAACTGATCCTTGAAGGTAGTTACAGCTATTGTGGGTCTTTTTTGAGTGTTCCTGCAGCAGCACTATACGTCAGTATGACCACATTGTTTGCTTCATGGGCAGGTGAGGTGGTCCCAGGGGTGGGTGGGGGGTGGGGGGGTAACCACTTCTTGGCTACATCGTCACTCCAGAACCCTAAACCCTAAACCCGAAACCCTAACCCCTAAATCCTAAATCCTAAACCCTAAACCCTCAGCCTTCGCAACAGCCGGGCCACGGAGCGACCCAAGATTGGCGCGGCTGGCGTCTGCGGGCTGGAAGGGATGAGGCCTCAGAGGGGATGTTTGGGGGGTGAAGTTCGAGTTTAGGGTGATCAGGTTTAGGGTTTAGGGTTAGGGGTTTGCGGGGTTTTGGGGTTTAGGAGTTTAGGAGTTTAGGGGTATTGGGGTAGTGGGGTTTTGGGGTTCAGGGGTTTAGGGGTTAGGGCTTAGGCCTGAACTACACTTGTAGACTTGCGATAGCTTATATAGAAGGATTACACGCAAGGGGAGGTTGAGGCTTAGGAATTCAGAGGCCTCTCAACCCGAACGTCGCAGAACCCGAAAACAGAAAGCCCAGGGTTTAGGGTTAAGAGTTAAGGGTTAAGGGCTTTTCCCTCCATACAACCATCAGCGGTTAAGGGTTAGACCTTGGGGTTTGGAACCCTGAACGCTATATACCCGAAACTCTAAACCCTAAAACCCTCAGCCCCAACCCCTCAACCTCGACCCAAACTGGCAAACTTCTGTCTTGGTTTAGGGTTTAGGGTTTAGGGTTTAGGGTTTAGGGTTTAGGGCTTAGGGTTTTCGGCCTTTGCTGCCATGGCTTCATAGAGCGTTTGGGGATAAGAATCAGCTCAGGCGTAGGGCTGTGGAACCGAGGGTTTAGGCTTTAGGGTTTAGGGTTTAGGCGACTCGCAAACACGAAGACGAAGCCCTCAAAACCCCCAAACGCCCACTGCCAAAAAATCATGGGACTTCGGGCCCCTAAGCTTGTGCCCTTCCCTAAACCCTAAACCCTAAACCCTAAACCCTAAACCCTAAACCCTAAACCCTAAACCCTAAACCCTAATTAAACCCTAAACCCTAAACCCTAAACCCTAAACCCTAAACCCTAAACCCTAAACCCTAAACCCTAAACCCTAAACCCTAAACCCTAAACCCTAAACCCTAAACCCTAAACCCTAAACCCTAAACCCTAAACCCTAAACCCTAAACCCTAACCTAAACCCTAAACCCTAAGCCCTAAACACTAAAACCCTTGGGTTTGGGGGACCCCTTTTGAAAGATTCTCTAGGGTGTTGTAAGGGCCAAAACAGGAGAATATTGAGGGCAACCTTTTGGGGTTCAACCTTAGGGGTATGAGTCTTAACCCTTTTGAAAGTCCCTAAGCCCTAAACCCTAAGCCCTAAACCCTAAACCTAAGCCCTAAACCCTAAACCCTAAACCCTAAGCCCTAAACCCTAAACCCTAAACAAGCCTACTGCCAATAAGGCTCTGTGCAGTAGCGGGCCAGGGGTCAGCGGCGCCATCCTCAGCCAAGGGATTAAGACGCTTATACCCTTGCAAGGAGGGGGGCCCCCCTAGTTATAGGGTTTAGGGTTTAGGGTTCTAAGGATCCTAACTTAGGCTATAAGTCCCTGAACTAGAGTTAGTATAGTAAGGTTGTGCCCAGAACGGTTCCCCTTTAATGTACTCCTAACTATGGCCCCTGTACTACCTTCAGAATCTGCCCTGAACCCTAAACCCTAGACCCTAGACCCCCGAACCTAAAAACACACAACCTCAAGGGTCCAAGGCACAACCCCTAGACTCAGCCAAGGGGTTGGGTTTAGGCTTTATAGGCTTTACAGGCTTTACAGGCTTTATAGGCTTTATAGGCTTTCGGCTTTAGGGTTTAGGGGGGCTTAGGGTGTGTTTTAGGGGTTTGCGAGGGCAGTTCAGCGGTGGACTCCTAGCACCACAAGCAAAAAGTCAGACCCAAACGCCCGAATGCCCATACCCTAAATCGGAATCCGGCAGCCCTAAACCCTAAACCCTAAACCCTAAACCCTAAACCCTAAACCCTAAACCCTAAACCCTAAACCCTATACCCTATAAACCCTAAACCCGAAACATCCCTAACCCTAAACCCATGCCACAGGCTTTTGGACTGAACTTATCAGCAGCGCCATGCACTATGTGTTGAACCAAAGGAAGGGCTTAGCTTGGGGTTTAGGGTTTAGGGTTTAGGGTTTAGGTTTTAGGGTTTAGGGTTTAGGGTTTAGGGTGTAGCATTGGTCAGCTGAACGCAAAAGTGTAAAGACATGCCCACCCCGAGGCCACCCAAACAATACTCATCACGAAGCCAAACCGGAGCCAGCCAAAGCCAAGCCAGCCATTCAAATTTCACATATCGAACATGTTCAGAGCACACTAAGATAAAACACTGCGAATGCTTGGGACATTTGCGAGTCGTGAACTCTTGCCGAACTTGAGGCGAGCTGTTGTCGATTTCTTGGGGGGGTCACTTGGGAACAGTGGCTGATTGGGACACTAGGAAGTCGGAGGTCATCTGGGGCCAGAAGGCAGCATGTCGAGCACTGCCTTGGGACATTTGCGCTTTGAGGGGTGCCAAGGGTGTCCCTTGACTTCGGAGGTCACTTGGGGGCAGAAGGCAAAGGAGCCCCCCCCCTCAGGTTTTGCGCAGGGGATGGTCTGGGCAGAAGGGCCCTGTCACAGAAAATTCCAGGGCGTGAAGAGTCTCCGGGTTTTGCAAGAATCTCCCCCCACGCCGAAGCTCACTTGGCCAGAGAACGAAACTCACTTGAGCGGTCAAAGCGAGGGGTCGGACCTTTCAGGGCTTCCCTTCTTTGGCAGCCTTCTGCCTACTGAAAAATTTTGAGGCCCCCTTGCTTACTGGGAGGGTTTAAGGTCCCCCGTGCCTACTGGAAGGGTTTAAGGCCCCCTGCTTTTTGGGACTACTGGAAGGGTTTGAGGCCACCCTGCTTAAGGTCCCCCTGCCTACTGGAAGGGTTTAAGGCCCCCCTGCTTTCTGGGAAGGGCCCCCTGCTAGGGGGGGCCCAGGCCAGGGTTGAGGTGGCAGTAAAGGGGAAGGACCCCCCCCTCTTCTGGGGTTTAGGGTACTAATATATATCTGAGCTCTCAGGAGTGTGTCTGGCAGGCTCTGCAGCCTAGCAGAGCCTGCCGTGGTCTCGCTGAGAGGGGTGGCGGGCGGGTTTAGGGTTTAGGGTTTAGGGTTTAGGGTTTAGGGTTTAGGGTTTAGGGTTTAGGGTTTAGGGTTTAGGGTTTAGGGTTTAGGGTTTAGGGTTTAGGGTTTAGGGTTTAGGGTTTACCTTCTAGGGGCTGTAGGAATTTAGGGTATGGAGTTTAGAAGTTTTGGGTTTCCAGGGGCTTAGGGTTTAAAATTTTAGGGGCTGTCCGACTTGAGGGTTGAGGGTTTAGGAGGTTAAGGCCTTTAGGGTTGAGGGTTTGAGGTTTTAGGGTTGTAGGAGTTTAGCATTCCCCTGTCCAGGGGTTTAGGGTTTGAGGGCTCCAGGGGTTTAGGGTTTAGCGCTTAGGGTCTAGGGTTTTAGAGTTTAGGGTTTCCCTAAACCCTAAACCCTAAACCCTAAACCCTAAACCCTAAACCCTAAACCCTAAACCCTAAACCCTAAACCCTAAACCCTAAACCCTAAACCCTAAACCCTAAACCCTAAACCCTAAACCCTAAACCCTAAACCCACCAACAGGGTTTAGGGTTTTTAGGGTTTAGGGTTTAGGGTTTAGGGTTTAGGGTTTAGGGTTTAGGGTTTAGGGTTTAGGGTTTAGGGTTTAGGGTTTAGGGTTTAGGGTTTAGGGAAACCCTAAACCAGCTCTTGAACACGAAGAGGACTTTACTGGCTCTTTAGTGCGTCGTGGAGGTCAGCACCTGCTAGTTCCATAACTCACGAACCCTTCCCCCTTCCCCCCCTCCGAGCCGCTCCACTGCAACTGGGCCCGCCAGGAATCTCTCGCCATCCCTGACAATGCACTTGTCCGGGCCCAAGATGTCGCCATGGTCGTAGCCGCACACGGGCTGCGACCGTGCAGGCGGGCGCGCTCCTGTGGAATAGACTGCGTAGACAATGTTCCCACGCGTGTCAAGAAGCACTGCACCGCAAATGTTAGGGTTTAGGGCTTAGGGTTTAGGGTTTAAGGTTTAGGTTTAGGGCTACGAGGCCAGTTCAGGGCGGGCTTGCTCACCCACTTCTCAGACTGGTAGAGGAGCTTCGAGACGCAGGATTTCAAGGCGCGGTTGGTGCCGTAGCACAAGTCATGCTCCACTGCGTCGGAGCTCAGTAGTTGCACACAGTGAGAAGACCTCTTCATACCCTAAACACTAAACACACCCCCCTCACCTCCATACAGAAACCCTCAACCCTAAAAAACCCATCGCCCCCCCAGCCCCCCCCGCCCCCAAACCCCCACTAAGAAACCCTAAACCCGAAAGCCGAAACCCTACACCCTAAACCCTAAACTTACCCTAAACCAAGGATGCCGCATCCGCGCCGACGAGGATGTTTCCGGGACTGGCTGGATTCCTTCCGTCACAGGCACGAGGCCCCGCCGCTAAAAATTTAAGGGTTTAGAGTTTAAGCCCTAATCCCTAATCCCTAAACCCTAAACCCTAAACCCTATATAAGCCCTAAGCCCTAAGCCCTAAGCCCTAAACCCCAAACCCTAAACCCTAAGCCCTAAGCCCTAAACCCTAAAGCCTCAACCCTAAACCCTAACCCTACGCCCCAAACCCTCAAGACTTCAAGGCGTCAACGGGCATGGTGTGAAACTGGCGGAAAGACAACTTTGCCGAGCGCAAGGTTACACACTGCAGAAATTTCGGCTCAGGCGATCCCTTTATCTAAGGTTGGAACTATGGACCCTTAGTATGGTCCCTTACCCTTGTTTGAAGGGATGTAGAGGGATCCGAAGTATGGGCCCTTATTCTGTATAGTGTATAAAAGGGCTATATAACAGGGGGCCCACATTAAGGGCTCATACTTCGGATCCCATACTATATATGGTCAGCTCTTGCACTTGTATCTCTCCTCAGTTCGTGGGGAACCCGGTAACAACATGAAACCCTAATCAAGAAGGCTTTTGGGCTTTCGCAAGGGGGGTTAGGACTTGGGTTTCAGGGTCTTGAAGGGGGTTTAGGGGTTAAAGGTTCTGCAAGCTTGAATCTCACGAGTTTAAGGTTTTCATAGGGCTTAGGTCGCTTTGATCTTGGATTCTTCAATCTTGAATCTACAGAGTTTAGGGTTCGGGGGCTGGGGCTCTTAACTGGGCTTGGGGCTCATTCATCTTGAATTTCAGGGGTGTTGAAGGTTCAAGGTTTCGGGCTCCTCAGCCTGGAGTCTGAAGAGTTTAGTTTAGGGTTCAGGGTTTAGGGTTTAGGATTTAGGGTTTAGGGTTTAGGACCGTTTAGGAGGGTTTAGGGTTTAGGGTTTAGGGTTTAGGGTTTAGGGTTCAGGCTTGAGGTGTTAGGGTTTAGGAACCTTGAATCTCGTGAGGTTAGGGTTGAGGGTCCTGGGCTGAGGGTTCTGCAATCTTGACTCTAGAGTTTACAGCTTAAGGTTTAGGGCTTGGGGTTTAGGGTTTAGAGTTTACGGCTTCAGGCTTAGGGTTTTCTTGCGCCTAGGGAGCAAGGTCGCCAGAAATCAGATAAGAGCTTCGCATATGTTCTTTGTCTAGCTTAGAAGCTCTACTTCCCCCCAGGGGATGACTTGTGTAACTTGCTTAGGCCCTACCTAAAGCCTAAACCCCAAGCCCGAAACCCCAAACCCTACGCCCTAAACCCCGGTCAGGATGGCCACCTAAACCCTAAACCCTGAACCCTAAACCCTAAACCCTAAACCCTAAAGCCTAAAGCCTAAAGCCTAAAGCCTAAACCCTAATCCCTAAACCCTAACCCCAAACCCTAAACCCCCAAACCCTAAACCTCCCCTGAACTCCCAGATCGCGCTCCTGAGACGGACGAGTCCGTGAAGATTCGTGAGGGGGCCAGTGGCGCCGGGGAGGTCGCAGGCCCTAAGCCTGCCAACAGTGCTCCTAAACCACCCTAAACCCTAAACCCTAAACCCTAAACCCTAAACCCTAAACCCTAAACCCTAAACCCTAAACCCTAAACCCCTAGACCCTAAACCCTAAACCCGAAACCCAAAAGCCTAAACCCTAAACCCCTAACCTTGGATGTTCCCCCTTATGCTAAACCACTCAATAGAGATTATAGTACCCCCGACTATCATCCCTATTAAGGACTGTTAGTTTAATGGGAACATCCCAAACCTAACCCCCACACCCTGGAGATAAAAACCCTAAACCTTTGGGATCGATTGTTGAGAGAGTCTACCGGGAAGTTTATGCACCCTCTAAGTTTCCACCTAAATGGCCAGTTTTTTCAGAGTGGAGACTGAGTATCCTAACCCTGAGTACCCAGAAGTTGTGTTAAGTATGCATAAGATTGAACCTCCAACATCTCATCCGGCCATTCTTCGCAGCGAGTGAAATCCCAAACCCTACCCCCTACCCCCAAACCCTAAACTCTAAACCCTAAACCCTACACCCTAAACCCTAACCCCTACTCCACACACGGCTCTAAACAAACCAGCCGAAAACCGCGGCTCAAGACCCAAAGAGCAGGATCGATCCTAAACCCTAAACCCTGAACCCTAAACCCTAAACCCTAAACCCGAAACCCTAAACCCTAAACATCCTATGGACCCTTCGAAGTTTAGAGCTTCATCAGGGCTTAGGGGCTTAGGGGTTTGGTGCTTGAACTACAGGTAGATTGCACCAAAGAAAGGTATCCTTCTGCACATATCCACCAAACTTCCCTAAGCCCTGAACCCTTCAGGTTTAGGGTTTAGGGTTTAGGGTTTAGGGTTTGGGGTTTAGGGTTTAGGGTTTAGGGTTTAGGGCTTAGGGTTTAGGGAGCCCTGTGATCTCCTTGCAGCTCTTTCACGTCGTTCTGGGGAGCCTTTCCTTTCGTCCAGTTCTTGAGCCACCATTGCAATCATGTAGTACACCATTTCGAGAGGGACCGGCTTTGCCTAAACCCTAAACCCTAAACCCTAAACCCTAAACCCTAAACCCTAAACCCTAAACCCTAAACCCTATGTAGTCGTCCGGTGGAACAACCCGGCGGGCACGCAGGACATGAAGAAGGACCCTGTCGACCTCATCTTTCCGGGTAAGCCCCCGGCTGTCACACAGGCTTCTACGCAGGGCTTTAGGGTCCACGGGGTTTAGGGTTTAGGGTTTAGGGTGTAGGGTCTAGGGTTCTGATGGACCCAATATTCCCTCTGTTTGGTTGAGGATGTGGGGGTCTCTAGTGCGGCTGGGGGCTTTGGCCTGGGTTCTGAACCCTGAACCCTACAAACCCTAAACCCTAACACCCTATCACCCTAACAAGCACATGGGACCTGTCATGCTGAGAACACCCGTCTGCTCGCTGGGCAGATTCCGCCGATTCCGCATCCGCTCCAGCCGGGCTCTCTAGGGTTTAGGGTTTAGGGTTTAGGGTTTAGGGTTTGGGGACCCGCCTCTCGAGTGAGGGGCTGGCGAGGGGGCGGGGGCCGGGGGGGGGGGGGGGGGGGGGGGTCGCCCGCCCAGCACGGTCACTGACATGGCCCAGAGGTGGCGAAAGGGAAGGAGCGCGGCCACGTCCAAGCTTATGTGCCTCGAGCTGTAACGCGAACACCCAAAACCCTAAACCTTCAAATCCCAAATCCTAACACCCTGAGCCCTGAAGCCCTAAAAAACTAAAACCCTAAAGCCCCAAAACCCGAAAACCCTAATACCCTATAACCCGAATACCCTAATACCCAAAAAACCCTAATACCCTACCCCCCCTACTATCCTGCTAAAACCCCACCAAACCCCTACAGACCCTACAAACCCTAACATCCTAAAACCACAATACCCCTTTACCCTAATGCCCTAATGATACACGAAAACCCTAAACCTAAAACCTTAAACCTTAAACCCTAAACCCGAAACCCTAAACCTAAAACCTTAAACCTTAAACCCTAAACCCGAAACCCGAAACCCTAAACCATAAATCTTAAACCCTAAACCCGATGACCGCACCTGGCGAGTGCAAAAGCGACTCAAATGGCCGATCCTCTTCTCGACCCTGAGCAGCAAGCTGGGCTTGAGGGCTTTTCAGGGCAAACCCTAAACCCTAAACCCTAAATCCTAAATCCTAAACCCTAAACCCTAAACCCTAAACCCTAAACCCTAAACCCTAAACCCGTGCGGGGTTTAGGCTGGAGGATTGAGGGTTGAGGGGTTTCGGGGTCGCCCTTCCTTGTGCAATGCTCTTAGAACCACGCCTCCCAACCCTAAACCCTAAACCCTAAACCCTAAACCCTGAACCCTAAACCCTAAACCCTAAACCACAGTACCCTAAGCCCTAAGCCCTGATTACACATGCCCCAAACCCTACTTCAAACCCCAAACCCCCCGCCAAAAAAGGTCATAGTGCACCTACTGGGAATCCTAGTTGTATCCCCTCGACCGGCAAGCGCCTCCCAATGAAAGCGGATCTCCACAGTCTAGATGTTTAGGGTTTAGGGTTAAGGCCTAACCCTAAACCCTATAAACCCTACACCCTAAACCCTAAGCCCTACACCCGAAACCCTAAACCCTACACTAAACACTTCTAAACCCTGGAACTGACTGAGTGTAGACTCAATTTATAGGTTAGGTGTTGAGGTTGCAGGGGCTGGGTTTTGGATCGGCAGGGTTTAAGGCTTAGGGTTCTCACAGGAGCCTTTCTGCGATGTAAAGGGTTTCTAACCCCTAAACCCTAAGCCCAAAGCCCCAAGCCCCAAGCCCCAAGCCAAGCAACTCTTAGCCCGAAGTTTGCCTTGCTTGGCTTTACTTTCAGGGCTTCGGTGGGTTTAGGGGTTTAGGGGTTGGGGGTTTAGGGTTTAGGGTCGAGGGCTTCGGTGGGTTTAGGGCTTTCTTGGGGAAGATTCTGCGGGTTTACAGGACTAGGGGTTTACGTCTAACTCTATGCAAAACCTTGAACCTGAACACTCTGAACCCTCAACCCGAAACCATAAATCCGAACACCTGTGGATTCGGGCTTTCGCCCTCAGAACCAAGGATCGATGTACCCTAAACCCTAAACCTTAGAACCCTAAACCCTAAACCCTAATTAAACCCTAAACCCTAAACCCTACCCTAAAGACATGCTTAGCCGCGAAGTGAGGGACTAGCTCTGAATCTAAACCCTACCACCCCCAGCCGCCCCACCCAAGGAAGCCCAAACCCTAAACCCTAAACCGTAAACCCTAAACCCTAAACCCTAAACCCTAAACCCTAAACCCTAAACCCTATGAACCCCAGGGTAGCTCATCCTGGGCGCCAGGCCAACACATCTTCAACTTCAGCGTCGCGCGACCCCGTTGCGAGATCCGTCTGCAACCATCCGGGTTTGAGGGGGCGAACGGTTGACTATGGAGTTCTTAGGGAAGGGGTTTAGGGTTTAGGGTTTAGGGTTTAGGGTTTAGGGTTTAGGGTTTAGGGTTTAGGGTTTAGGGTTTAGGGTTTAGGGTTTAGGGTTTAGGGTTTAGGGTTTAGGGTTTAGGGTTTAGGGTTTAGGGTTTAGGGCTTAGGCTTTAGAGTTCTTAAGGGAGGGAGGTTCATAACCCAAGGTTGCCGAATACTCCCCACTACGCCCTAAGGCTCGCTCCCTGGCTTCCCCCTAGCCCCCAAAAATGGTTTAGCGTTTCGGGTTTAGGGTTTAGGGTTTCGGGTTTAGGGTTTCGGGTTTAGGGTTTAGGGTTTCGGGTTTAGGGTCTTTTTTGAGCACCCTACAAGTTGTCAGGGATTGAAGGACCAGGGCCTTCCTGCAGGCCTTGTGATCTTTGCCTCAAGATCACACAAAGCTGGCGCTGCCTCGAAAAATCCTGTATACGCGGAGTTTATACTACGAACCTACAACACATACGGTCTCGAAAGAAGGCCTTCACATCAGGTTTGAAGCCCTGAGCCCCAAACCCTAAACCCTAAACACTAGACCCTGATCTGTGAACCAAAGACCCTGTACCCGAAGCCACATAGGAACTCCTTTTGTTCTCAAGTGAGGGTTGATTTTAGGATTTAGGGTCTAGGTTTGGGGGTTTGGGGTTTGGGGTTTAGAGTTTATAGCAACCCCCAAACCCCAAACTCCCAAACCCTAGGCCCTAAGCCCTAAACCCTCGTAATCGCCAAGTCTCCCAAGCCTGCGTCCGAGGTTCTGAGTCCCTCAACCCTAAACCCTAAATTCTAAACTCTAAACCCTATACCCTAAACATCGTTGGAGCTTAGAGGCTTAGGGGATTCAAGGGCTGAAAGCCCGGCACCCCTGAGCCCGTACCCTGAATACTGAATCTCGAAGCCAAAAACCCTAAACCCTGGACCCTATACAGGTTCTGGGTTTAGGGTTTAGGGTTTAGGGTTTAGGGTTTTGGGTTTAGGGCTAGGGTTTAGGGTCTGGGGTTTAGGGGTCCTGCCCCCTATACGCCCTAAACTGGAACAAAGCCCTGCCTGGTAGCATTCCCCAAGCCGGCGGTGCAACTCACCGATGTGGCTGTGGAGCTCCCAGAAAGTTGGCGTTCCTGGCACCAGGCCAAAGAGCAAGCCGCCAATAGATCAAGATGTAGAGTCTATCTGTATATCTATATCTGTGGTATATATGTATGAATATATCTATATATATATATATATATCTATTTATATATATATATATGGTCACCCCACCCCCCCACATGATCCACACCTATGGTTTTCCGGTCTTCGTCTTTGTCGGTTTTTCTGCTTTTTTTCCGCGGAAAAATGTAGTAAACACTGTACTGGAATACAAAAAGCTCTATTACATTATCCCCTATAAAAGCACTGGTGTTTTTATGTGCATATTGCTTCTGAAACGTGTGTCTTGCGGCTCCATAAAATTTTAGACGGGCAGCCATTTCGAATTTTAAGGCTTTTCAGGGTTTTAGGGGGTTTTAAAAACTTAGATGATCTGCGGAAGGCACCGGGGCTTCCCCAGACCATTGCAAATTTAAAAAACCCTTAAAACCCTTTTTTTGAACTGACAGCCCGTTTAAACTGTAAGGGATTGAAGGTATTTAAAGCCATTCAAAATTTTTAGGGTTTAAAGGATTTTAGAAAGGCTTTGAAACCCTTAAAAAACCTGAAAACTTTTATGCCTTAACTTTCTAAATGCCTTAAAACCTTAAAAGGGCAACCGTTTAAAATTAAGGAAGTTACGGATTTTAGAACTGAACATCCTAAAATCCTTAAACTTTAAATTTAAAAGGACAGCCATTTACAACTGTAAGAATTTCAGGGTTTTCAGGATTTGTTAAGATTCTGGGGAAGGCACCGGGGCTTCTCCAGACCATTGACAACGTTAAAACTTCTTAAAATCCTAAAAGGGCAGCTACTTAAATGTTTAAGCATTTTAAGGGGCTTTAAAACCTGTAAATAGAAGGTTTTAAGGTTTTTAAAAGTTTAACTGGTCTGGGGAAGCCCCGGTGCCTTCCCCAGACAATTTAAATTTCGAAAAGTTTGTTGAAGAATGGTCTGGGGAAGCCCCGGTACCTTCCCCAGATCATTTACAATTGTAAATAAAACCTTAACACCCTTAACCCTAAAAACCAAACCCGAAACCCTCAACACTAAACCCAAAACACTCAGCACCAGACTCTAAACACTAACCCTAAAAGCTTAACACTAAGCCCTTAGCACAAACCCCAAACACTTAACACGAGACCCTAAACACTTAAGCACCAAACCCTAAACACTTAAACACTACACCCTAAAAACTAGACCCTAAACATTGCACACTAAACCCTACACACTAAACCCTGAACACTAAACCCTAAACCCTAAACAGAAGGATTCTTAAAGTTGTCAATGGTCTGAGGAAGCCCCGGTGCCTTCCCCAGATCATGTAACATGTAAAATTCCTTAAAACCCTTAACCCTAAATACCAAGCTCTTAGCACAAACCCCCAAACACTTATCACGAAACCCTAAACACTCAAGCACTAAACACTAAACACTTAAACACGACACCCTAAAAACCAGACCCTAAACATTACACACTAAACCCTGAACACTGAACCCTAAACCCTAAACTGGGGGATTTTAAAGTTGTCAATGGTCTGGGGAAGCCCCGGTGCCTTCCCCAGACCATTTAAATTTGTAAAAAAATCCTTGACACCCTTAACCCTAAAAACCAAACCCGAAATCCTTAACACTAAACCCTACACACTCAGCACTAGACCCTAAACACTAACCCTCAAACCTTAACACTAAGCTCTCAGCACAAACCCCAAACACTTAACACGAGACCCTAAACACTTAAGCACCAAAGCCTAAACACGAAACCCTAAACACTTAAACACTACACCGTAAAAAACTAAACCTCAAACATTGCACACTCAACCCTCCACACTAAACCCTGAACCCTGAACCCTGAACCCTGAACCCTAAACCCTAAACCCTAAACCCTAAACCCTAAACCCCAAACAGTAAACAGTAAACCCCACAGCCGGAACCCTCAAGCCCTACTAATCTTGGCTGCACTTAGGAGGGTAGTAAAAAACTAAACTTCTAGCTGCCTGATTAAGAAACCCAATAAACCCCAAAAGGCTAAAGCTCTAAAGTTACAGTAAAGCACCACAAAGTAATCTAAGCCTGAAACCAAAAATTCGTCGGGGTTCCAGATGCTTACTGTTTGGACTTTAGAGTTTAGGGTTTTTATTTGGTTTAGGGTTTTAGCCAAGCCGCTTGACCCTAAACCCTAAGCCTAAACCCTAGACCCTAAACTTAACACTCAACCCTAAACACAAAACACTAAACCCTGAAACCTACACACTAAACCCTAAACACTAAACCCTAGACCCGAAACAACAAATCCTGAACCCTATACCCTAAGCACTAAACCCCAAACCAAAAAACATGGGGGTTTCAGTGCTTTAGGGGTTTTAACACTTGATTAATCAGATCATTATAAGGTTTTTGGGTTTTTTAGACATTATCAAAGTCGCTTAACCCTAAACCCTGAAAAGCAAACCCTAAACCTTTAAAACCAAAACCGAAACACTGGACACGAAACACTAAACCCTGTACCAAACCCTAAACAACAAACACTAAACCGTAATCCCTAAACGTGCATATGGAGAACACGGGCCCCGGGCTCCAGACTCCAGATTGCCAGAGTGAAGCCCCGGACTCCGGGCTCCCCCCCAGACCACGGACCCCAGATTCTGGAGTCCAGGGCCCCGATACTCCAGATTTATTCTGGAAATCTGGAGTCTGGAGTCTGGAGGTACTCCAGGTTTCCAGAAAAATCTGGAGTACCGGGGCCCCGGACTCCAGATTACGGACTCCAGATTCTGGAGTCCAGGACCCCGATACTCCAGATTTATTCTGGAAATCTGGAGTCTGGAGTCTGGCTATGCTGGAAATCTGGGGTCTGGAGTCCCACTCCCCCCCCCCTCCCAACAAAACCCCACATCCACAGCCTTGCCAAATGTGTGTATCATGGGGGGGGGGGGGGGGGGGGGGGGGAGCATATGTATATATGTGTATATGTGCATATATGTATATATGTATATATGTATATATGTTTTTATGTATATATGCATATATGTATACATGTATATATGTATATGCAGATGCATATGTATATGTAGATGTATATGTATACACTCTAAACACCATGATGCTTTAGGGTTTAGGGTTTTAGGGTTTCGGGTTTATTTACCTCTTAGGGTAGCTATATGGTCCCTTAGTATGGCCCTTAAGTGGGGACCCCTTATGTACCCCCTTCTATACCCTATAAACACAAGGCCCCATACATCAGAACCCTAGTAAAAGCCAAAAATCAAACCCTATAAGCCCCACAAACCCAGTGAACCCTGCAAGCCCGACGAGCTCTATGAACCCTGTAAACTGCACAAACCCTAGAAACTCTCCTAAGCCTTGAAAACATCTACACGCCCTGCACCCTGTCAACCATACAAACCCGATATCCCTAAACGCTCTAAAAACCCAGCAACCCCTGTAAAGCTTTTAGCCCCTACAAACAACCTAAATCTTAAACAACCAACAGACAAAAAGAATGCCTCCATCTGGGAAAGCCATGGCACACGCAGTTCTGCGATGTGCTGTGGCCACGGTGGGGTCTACGTGAGGGCCCGATAACAGCAAGCGCGGGTCGAGGGAGGGGTGGGGGGCTTACGTGACGTAGAACTGCCTTCGTTGTGAGGAGCACCTTTGGATATGACATCCCAAGGCTCGAAACCAACCATGAAGACATGAACTCTAGGGAGAATGTGTGCGTTGGGGTTTGGAGGGCTTTAGAGGTTTCGGGGTGAAGGGGTCTGGGGGCTTTTTTTCTTCCCAGCCCTATGCACCCCATCCCCATTCACCTCAGACCCAATAGGGGCACACGCTGCCCACACCAAACGCCAAATGCCAAGCTGTTGAGCCAAGTAGGGAAGCTCAACAATTCTGATGGGGTTTAGGGTTTAGGGTTTAGGGTTTAGGGTTTAGAGTCGAGGGTTTAGGGTTTGGGGATTGTAGGCTTGAGGGCTTGGGGATTGTAGGCGTTTGGGGGTTTGGGCTCGAGTTCCGGGATTCTTAACAACTTAGGGATGGACGGGGATAGGTGCTAGGGGCTTAGGGTTTAGGGTTTAGAGTGCTAGGGGCCTGCAGGGTTTCAGGGGTTAGAGGCTTAGAGCTTCAGGGAGTTCAGGGTTTGGGGCTTAGTTTGGGGTTTAGGGTTTAGGGTTTAGGGTTAGAGCCCCAATCGCGAAATCCCCTGCGGTCGACTCCCTTGCACGGCCTTCCAGTGACTCAGGGTTTGGCGTTTAGGGCTAGAGCTTGGGGATTTTTAGGGTTTATACGGCTTAAACCCTAAACCCTAAACCCAACATCCAACACCCTAAACCCTAAATCCTACTAAATCCTACACCCCAGGTTAGCGTTCCAGGGCTTTGGGTTCAAGCTGTCGGGTTGAGCATGCTTGAATGCAGTGTTTCGAGGCAAACCCCAAGCCCCCAAGCCCACTAGTATAGGGTTTAGGATTTAGGGGGGGGGGTTTAGGGTTTAGGGTTTCGGGTTTAGGGTTTAGGGTTTCGGGTTTCGGGTTTAGGGTTTAGGGTATACTTCGAACAGGGTTTTGGGGGGGTTCTTTTGGTATATTTAGTCAGTAAGGGACCATCAGGGAAAGCTACTAGTAATGATTCCGACCCCTACACCTCCCCTTACAAACCTGGACGGATTTCTCCGCGAAAGCTGGGGAACAAAAAATGCCCCTTTGTGCCGAAAGGGAAGATTCCAGAAAGACGAAAACCTGGCTCCCCTAAACCCTAAACCCTAAACCCTAAACCCTAAACCCTAAACCCTAAACCCTAAACCCTATCTCTCCTGGACTAAACCCTAAGCCCTACAGACCTCAACTGGCCCTAACTCTTAGGGGGCCCCTAATTGGGTAACCCTGATATCTCTATATACCCTACAGCCCAAAGGCCCAGTACTTTAGAACCTTTAAAAAACGTAAGGGACCATCTAAGGGACAACGTAGCTTACCCAAACCCTAAACCCTAAACCCTAAACCCTAAACCCTAAACCCTAAACCCTAAACCCTAAACCCTAAACCCTAAACCCGAAGGCATCAAGCCTGCCCCAAAGGTGCCCCCACTTTACTCATAGGCCCAGAAGCATGGTCATGTCGGCTGTGAAACTGTGAGCCTCCCTTTGCTGGCCGAGACATGTCGCTTGAGTTTGGGGGTTCAGGGCGTAGTTAGGGTGTAGGGTTTAGGGTTTAGGGTTTAGGGTTTAGGGCTTGGGGTTTGGGGTTTGAGGGTGTGCAAGATTCCGAGCCCGCGGTATTTCGGACAAACCTGGGCAGCTTGTCTTCAGAAGCCCTGAACCCGAAACCCATAGAACCAAGCGCCGCCCCTCCTAAGAAAAGAAAAAGCTACAACTGGAGGGTTTAGGGTTTAGGGTTTAGGGTTTAGGGTTTAGGGTTTAGGGTTTAGGGTTTAGGGTTTAGGGTTTAGGCTGAAGAGGATGGGGCTTTCCAATACCCCCCCCCCCCCCCCCGCCCGCCCCCGCCCTCCCCCTCGAATGTGGTCCCTTGATTCTGGTCTCTATGTACGTCTCTCTCTCGCTCTCTCTCTCTCTCTCTCTCTCTCTCTCTCTCTCTCTCTCTCGCTCTCTCATATACATACGTAGTCATCTCCATATATATATATATATCTACATATAGATGTATATAAAGATACCTCTCTCTATATGCATATACTCTCTCGCTCTCTCTCGCTCTCTGTCTCTCTCTCTCTCTCTTGCTTTCTGTCTCTCTCTATATATATATATATGTACATCTATGTATATGTATACAACAAAGATGACCAAAGTAAACTAACCCTAAACCCTAAACCCTAAACCCTAAACCCTAAACCCTAAACCCTAAACTCTAAACCCTAACCCTAAACCCTAAACCCTAAACCCTAAACCCTAAACCCTAAACCCTAAACCCTAAACCCTAAACCCTAAACCCTAAACCCTAAACCCTAAACCCTTCCGTACCAAGCCGACGCAACGACTCTGCCTCGAGGTGACAGATCATCCCTCACATTGCAACAGACGAATCGCGACTTTTCGGCTTGGGATTCCTAAAACCTAAGCCCCCAAACCCTAAACCCTAAACCCTAAACCCTAAACCCTAAACCCTAAACCCAAAAACCTAAACCCCAAACCCTGAACCCTAAACCCAAGACCTGAACCCCAGCATCTCTAAAGTCGCCAAACAATCAGCGTCAGCATCAGGATCATAGCCTGGTTTAGGGGGTTTAGGGTTTAGGGTTTAGGGTTTAGGGTTTAGGGTTTAGGGTTTAGGGTTTAGGGTTTAGGGTTTAGGGTTTAGGGTTTACGGTTTAGGGTTAGGGTTTAGGGTTTAGGGTTTAGGGTTTAGGGTTTAGGGTTAGGTTTTGCCGCGTGGGTGCTTTGGAGCGCTTCAGGAGCCTCTCGGGCGTTAGGGTTCAGACTGTTGCTGTAGGCTCTTGAGGTCAGAATGGTTTAGGGTTTAGGGTTTAGGGTTTAGGGTTTAGGGTTTAGGGCTTGGGGCTTGGGGCTTGGGGTTGAGGGTCTTGGGCTGAGTCAGCCCTGTAATGAAGCCTCAAACCCCGAAAGTCTCAAAAAACAAAAGAGGCGGGACATAAAACCCATAAGGGTTTAGGGTTTAGGGTTTGGGGTTTGGGGTTTGGGGTTTAAGGTTTGGGGCTTGCGGCTTCGGATCTCCACTACAGCTACCAGTTGCCAGTTTATGGGCGGGTAGGTGACTAGAGTCGGGTGATTTCGTACACACTTACCAAGTTGCTTGTAAGTGAATCACCTCCAATTTAGGGTGCGTCCTACTTTAAGTCCCCAGATCCTCCAAGCAGCTGGGGCCTTGACAAACAATGCGGATTCGAGATGAAGGTTCGATTATGCCCACATGCGGGTTCGAGATGAAGGCTCGATGGTACAGGGTTTAGGGTTTAGGGTTTGGGGTTGTGGGTTTAAGGTTTAGGGCTTAGGGTTTCGGGCTTAGGGCTTAGGGTTTAGGGTTGTTGGCTTGGGGGGTGGGGGTAAGGGCTTAGGCTCCAGGGGTCAAGTGCAGGCAGAGCACCAGTAGAAAGAACATCTTGTAGTTGAGGGCCCCGGAAGAATCGTCCTGGGCAGGGCTTAGGGTTTAGAATCTTTTTGTTTAGGGTTTCGGTGTTAGGGTTTAGGGGTAAAGGGTTGAGGGTTTATAGGCGTTTGGGCTCAGAACCTCCTAAACTACAACAATCCCCAGAACAAACCCCAGACCCTGAGCTCAAACTCCTAAACCCTAAACCCAAAACCCAAAACCCCAAACCCTGAACTCAAAATGCTAAACCCTAAACCCTCGAGCCCAAACCTGCATAGCTGGGGGGCCTTGCAACTTCCGAGCCTGCGCGCCTAGTACCTAGACTGAAGGGTGCTTTTAGGGTTCAGGGTTCAGGGTTCAGGGTTTAGGGTTCCCTTAAACCCTAAACCCTAAGTTCTGGAGATCGTTCCTGCTTGGTCTTGGGCGTAGAATGCCCACCCCAAGCCCCATGACGACCTCCCCAGAAGGAGGTGTTGCTGAAGCCTTATGCCTAACGCCGTAAGCATGAAAGCATGATGCAGCCACAGCATACACATGTATATGTGTGGAATCTGTATATACATATTGAAATTTGCCGTTTATTTACGTGCTTACAAAGTTGTGTGCATTTCTACTGAATTTTGAAATCGTATTTATTTGATACGAATATTTAATTCTCATATGTAAATATTGAAATATTTGTCTGCGTATTGGCTTATGGATATATATATATATATATATATGAATATATATATATATATATGCAAACACAGAAAACAAACTGAACCTACTGAATGCTAAGGCTAAGACGCCCCCCCCCCCCCCCCCCGGGTCCCATGCGACTCAGCAACGAAGCCCTTGACATCCTTGAAACTACCTTTTAGGACTTAGGGTTTGGAGATTAGGGTTAGGACCGGCCCCATTTCAAGAACAGTTGCTTATGATCCCGATTAGGGTTTAAGTGGGGTTTGGGGGTTTAGGGATTCTTGCCGGAAACTTGTGCATCGGGGCCTCAATAATCAGAACAAGGCTTTGGGGGCTACCGCAGTATAAGTATATAGGGACCATAAGGGAAAACTAGTAGTAACTAGTCCGACGTGAAACCCTAAACCCTACACCCTAAACCCTAAACCCTAAACCCTAAACCCTAAACCCTGCACCCCCCTCCCTGAAAAACGTACCTGACCTTCCTGTCCTGCTGGCTGTTCATGGCCTTCTCGATCTCACTCGTCGACAAACCCAGAGTCTGCCAGGTGGCAGGAGAGGGGGTATAGGGTATAGGGTTTAGGGTTTAGGGTTTAGGGTTTAGGGTTTAGGGTATAGGGTTTCGGGTTTCGGGTTTCGGGTAACCCTGAGTCCTACATCCGAGGTCAGCGAAGAGCACCGAAACCCCGAAACCGGAACACCTAAGCCTTTCCCTTGCTATGATAAGAAAACTATCGATGGTTCACCCTAAGCCCTAAGCCCTAAACCCTAAACCCTAAACCCCAAACCCTCCAACAGCACGTGTATAGATTCAATCTGCAGGTGCAGGGTTCGGATCTGGGGGCTTAGGGTTCAGGGTTTAGGGGCTAGGGATCAGGAATCAAGATTAATTAAGGGCTCTGAGTCGCTTTAGAGTCAAAGCCCTTGACCCCTAAACCCTAGACCCCTAAACCCCTAAACCCCTAAACCCTAAACCCGTAAACCCTAAACCCGTAAACCCTAAACCCTAAACCCCTAAACTCCTAAACCCCCCAACACCCTATTTTCGCACTTATTCAACATACGTGCTCTCGAGGCGCTCCTTACGAACCCTCTAGACCCCACACCCTGAGACCTGCGACCCCTAGGAAAACCCTACCTGAATATCCCCACATGCTCCAAACCCCAAACCCCGAACCCCGAACCCTACACCCTACACCCTAAACCCTAAACCCTAAACCCTAAACCCTAAACCCTAAACCCTAAACCCCAAACCCTAAACCCTACACCCCAACCCTAAACCCTAAACCCCAAACCCCAAACCCTAAGCCCTGAACCCTTAACCCCCTTTCTTGGCCTCGAAGGCGGCCAACAGATCCTGCTGTTGGGCTTTGCGGCTTTCAGGCGGAGAGTGGAAGCTTTTTGGGGCTTGAGGGGGGTTCGGGTTTAGGGTTTAGGGTTTAGGGTTTAGGGTTTAGGGTTTAGGGTTTAGGGTTTAGGGTTTAGGGTTTAGGGTTTAGGGTTTAGGGTTTAGGGTTTAGGGTTTAGGGTTTAGGGTTTAGGGTTTAGGGTTTAAGGTTTAGGGAATTTAGGGTTTAGGGTTTAGGGAATTTAGGGTTTAGGGTTTAGGGTTTAAGGTTTAAGGTTTAGGGTTTAGTGAAGAAGCTTAGAGGTTTAGGGTTTGGGGTTTTGGGGGGTCGGGGGTTAGGGAGAGAAACACTTAGAAGGGGAAGCTTTGAGGGTTTAGGGTTTAGGCGTATACAAGGCCGCAAGTGTAGTGCAGAACCCACTGTTTCACGAATGCCTGAACACAGCCACGGCCCGCCTGCAACTCTTGCTTCTGAAACTCATCGACGCTGCTGGCGACGTTCTTGCTGATGCACCTGGTTTCCCAAAACCCTGAACCCTAAACCCTAAGCCCTAAACCCTGAGGTTTAGGGGTTGAGAGTCAGGACATCGGAGTAAGGAGCGCAAAACGTTCAAGTAGTCCGAATGCAACGGCGCCACAACTCGCCCGAACCCTAAAAACTCGTAATCAGAATAAAGCTTGGGAAGTCCCCCGTGAGCGCGGGAAAGGGCGTACCAGGAGTTTACAATAGGATTTCCAAGGTGAAGAGAGTGTGTGAATAAGAGAATGAATGAGCCTGCGAATGAATGAACGCAGTGAGCACATGAACGAAACAACCTCTGTCTCTAGGAGTTAATCTGTAGAGTCGTGAAGGTAACAGCCAGGATGGGAGAATGAGGGTGAAAAGGGCCAAATAATAAGTCCTTTAAAGGGGCCCTTTTCATCTCCCTCATTCGTGCGGTTAACAGGTTCATGATGACACGGGTGAACAGGAAAGGGGGATTTCTTGGTCATTTAGTACTAACCGGGGAACAACATGGGGTCTTTTGGCTTGTTCATTCACCCCTGTCACCCCTTTCACCCTTCACTCGCGACTCCCCGAAAAACCCTATTAAGATATATTCAATTATAAGGCACCTATGAATTTAATATGTTTTAATGGGCGTTTTTCCCCCAGAGTCGTTCATGAAGGTTTCAATCTTTAGAAACCCAATATTAAATTACGGCGCGCGTGAACAGTCCTTAATAGGGATTATAGCACCCTTAATAGGGATTATAGTACCCTTACTATAATCCCGATTACTGTTTAGTATAAGGGGGAACATCCCAAAGAATAGGGTATGCCGTGACACGTTGCCAAGCTTCGACCCTAAGGAAGAAATCTGAGATGAACCCAAAACACGAAAGGATTTTTCCAGAGATTCGCCGACGTGCACGCGTGGGTTTGAGCTTTATGTACTTTACGGAATGCTGGCGTTGATGCTTCTGGTTTCAAGGTAGGGGTTTAAGGTCTAGACCCTCAGCAAACCCTAAACCCTAAACCCTAAACCCTAAACCCTAAACCCTAAACCCTAAACCCTAAACCTTGTTGTAGGCATGAGGGGGGGGATCATGCTGTGCCGGGGCGCTTGAACAGGGCGTCGTGGCGCACCTGCCATGCTGGGTTTAGGGTTTAGGGTTTAGGGTTTAGGGTTTAGGGTTTAGGGTTTAGGGTTTAGGGTTTTAGGGTTTTAGGGTTTAGGGCTTAGGGTTTAGGGTTTAGGGTTTAGGGTTTAGGGTGCTTAGGGACTCTCATCAGGGTATTGTACAGCACTACTGCGTCTCCTTCCGGGTATGATTTGTAAAGCCCGAAACCCTAAACCCGAAACCCCTCAATCATGAAAACCCTGAACCCTAAACCATGAAACCCTAAACCCATTCTTAAGCAAAAGACAGCCCACTCGACCCTGAGACTGCTAGACTCCAAACCCCATCTCGTAACTTCGACCCTCCATAAGAACCTAAGCCCTAAGCCCTAAGCCCTAAACCCTAAACCCTAAACCCTAAACCCTAAACCCTAACTCCTACACCCTAAACCCTGAAAGCTAGAGGTATCGTTTGTTCGGCCTTGTGGTTGGAGGTGGTTTAGGATTTAGGGCTCATGGGCTACAGTTCCCGATTGTTTCGGGAGGTGGGGTAGGCCTTTCATTGTGGGCAGCTGGGATTTAGATGTGGGGGTGTAAGGATTTTCCGGGCTTGACAGCGCGGTGTAAATCATAGAACCAGAGGCTTCCGAACACCCTACTCCCTAAACCCCCCAAGAAAGCCCAATGCTCTAAATCCAGAATATAATAACCTAAGCCTGAACCAGAAGCTACAGAACCCCCCCCCCCACAAAAAAAAGAAAAAAAGAAAGCAACGACAAACAAAAACATCGCAGTAAATGAAGCCCGACACCCGAAACCCTGAGCCGTACATGCAGAACATAAACCCCATTCCCTCAGCCCGCAACGCATACCACACAAACAAGCCTCAGCCCTAAGCCCTAAGCCCCAAGCCCCAAGCCCCAAACCCTAAACCCTAAACCCTAAACCCTAAACCCTAAACCCTAAACCCTAAACCCTAAACCCTAAACCCTAAACCCTAAACCCTAAACCCTAAACCCTAAACCCTAAACCCGAAGCCACGCGCTTAGTGGACCTCCGCTTTGGCGAAGGACTCTGCCAGTGTGACGACTTGCTTCGCCCTGACGCTGGGCTTCTGGGTGCACGCTTTGAAGCTTTGGGGTTAGGGTTTAGGGTTTAGGGTTTAGGGTTTAGGGTTTGGGGTTTGGGGTTTGGGGTTTGGGGTTTGAGGTTTTGTGCAAACCTACCCCTGAATGTCGGTTATAGAATCTGAATTGCTGAGTTCATAGGCTTCCCAAAAAAGTGCACACTTTCTGTTCTATAGAGATTTTGCTATTGCAAAAAGTGTAAAGTGTACTCATTCAGCTACTGAGGAATCTAATGTGTCATGGAGGTGCTGGGCCGGCTTGCAGGGTCTGTCGGATTCATTAAACCCTAGACCCTAAACCCTAAACCCTAAACCCTAGACCCTAGACCCTAAACCCTAAACCCTAAACCCTAAACCCTAAACCCTAAACCCTAAGAGCTGATTTGGAACCTCGCAAATCCCGAACAAGATCAAAGGAGCTTCGCTGGGAGCTGAGAGGCTTGTTGGGGTACCCTAAACCCAGAACCCTAAACCCCAAACCCCAAACCCTAAACCCTAAACCCCAAACCCTAAACCCCAAACCCTAAACCCCAAACCCTAAACCCTAAACCCTAAACCCGGTTTTAGAAGGTGTACGGCTTCAGGGTCGGAAGGCCTGAACTCCTCGAAGACGTCAATGGCCACCTTGGTGCGACTCTGTGAACTTGGGCGGCTTACTTGCATACGGATCCAGAGAGTGGGTCTTGAGAAGTGAGAGTGCAGGGTTTAGGGTTTGGGGTTTGGGGTTTTGGGGTTTGGGGTTTGGGGTTTGGGGTTTGGGGTTTGGGGATTAGGGGCGTTAGTCAGCGATGGGGCCAGCATTCTCCTCTAGGGTTTAGGGAGCTGAGGGTTTATGAACCCTAAGCCCCTGGCCCTCAACTCTAAGCCCTAAACCCTGAACCCTAAACCCTACACCGCCACCCCTGACTCCTTGCGATACTTCCTGATTGGGTTTCAAGGCTTCAAAGCTATAGATGGAAGACGGAATCCGTCGTTTCTTTGGTTGAAGGTCGAAGGTTGCAGGGGTTCACGTTTAGGGTTTAGGCATTGTAGGGTTCAGGGTGTAGGGTTCAGGGTTCAGGGTTTAGGGTTTTAGGGTGCAGGGTGAGTTAAGGGAACGAAGGTTCATCAGTACTCTGGACAAGCTGATCAACATACATGTTCCCAAACTTGTCCTATTTCTCTAAGAACCCACAGCGCCCCTAAATTACTCTCAAAGAGTGACCTTTAAGACAACCCCAATATTTCCCCGCCCTGCCCAGGCGGCTTCAAGGTTGCTCGACTAGCCCATACTTAGACACTTTGGAACTACCTTAGGGTTTAGGGTTTAGGGTTTAGGGTTTAGGGCCTAGGGTTTACACTAAATATTACCTGGCGCTAGCCTTCCTCTCGTCCCAAGCTCCACGAAACCTAAGCGCCTGGCGTTCTGGGGCTTAAGGTGGGTACAAAGTCTGGGATTTAGGGTTTAGGTAAACCCTAAACCCTAAACCCTAATTAAACCCTAAACCCTAAACCTCAAACAGAACCTCTCAACCGCTAATGAAACCCTCACATCCATGCCACTGGCCTCGGCAACTGCCTGGTACACAGAGTCAATGTGGATCTGAGCCTGCCGCTTGGGCTTAGGACTTCAGGCGTTTAGGGTTTTTAGGGTTTGGGATGTTTAGGGTGTTTAGGGTGTTTAGGGTGTTTAGGGTGTTTAGGGTGTTTAGGGTGTTCAGGGTGTTTAGGTGTTTTCGGGTTTTCAAGGTTTAGGGTTTAGGGCTTAGGGTGTAGGGTTTGGGGTGTAGGGCTTCGGGCTTAGGGTTTGCTTTCAAGGCTCCAGGTGTCGGCTTCAGTGTTGGGGTGTAGGGCTGCGGTGCGGGTATCGACTTAGCTCCAAGTAACCCCCTCCCCCCCCCCCCCCCCCCCGGCAAGGCTGCGTATGGCTTATAGGCTTGAGGGTTCTGTGCCTAAACCCACAACCGTAAGCCCGATACCCTAAACCCGAAACCCTTCAGGCCCGGGACTGTTCTTTGAGAATGGGATCGATCGAGCCCAGAACGGGGGCTTTGCAGGTTAAATCTCATCAGGTCAATCTTCTACACGGTTCCCCGGGGGGTTCCTGGAATGACTACGGAGCCATTTTGGGGGCTTGGGGTGGTGTCCCTGTCGCAGTAAAATTTGCCTCGGAGTAAGCCAGCGCCAAATTGCCTCGGGCATGACATCGCAATGTCGGCTTACGTATCTACTCCTTCGAGCACCCTGAAATGAAGATATAGGAGCGTCACAGACCCTAAACCCGAAACCCTACGAAGCCCCAAACCTTAATACACTTTCCTCTTGAGATAGGTTTACCCTAATTAAACCCTAAACACTAACTCCTAAACCCCGCGAATCCTCTACTCATGCGCAGGTGTCCTACAAGGGCCGTGCGGAGTAGAGTTTTAGGTTTTAGGGTTTGGGGTTAGGACGACACCACAGACCACGGCATCTCCAGATGATGGCGCACCCTGCACCCCAGCCCAAAACACTTAAAACCAAAAGGCTTCGAAACCGTAAACCCTAAACACCCCCAATAAGGCAAAACAACCAAAACAATGGAACCATAATCTCCCCCAAACAAAGACAAAAACAATAAACATAACAATAAACGATAGAACGTGATGGAACCCCCCCCCCCCCCCCGCAAAAAAAAGGGGGTAAAAACCCCAAAATTCCCAGATCCCCCAGACTCATCGCAATCTGGGCCAGGAGCTGACGACGTGGGGTGCCTCAGGCGGGCTCTTCATAAAGCTTTCACGGACTGAGCCTTACGCAGTATGGTGTAGGGTTTATGTAAACCCTAAACCCTAAACCCTAAACCCTAAATCCTAAACCCTAAAAAAAGGTCTAGGGTTTTGGGGGCCCGAGCCCTGCACACTCAACCCTGGGCGCCGATATGTGACTAGCCCTAAACCCTAAACCCTCAACCCTGAGCCCTAAACCCTAAGCCCTAAACCCTAAACCCTAAGCCCAAATTAAAACCTAAACCCCTAAACCCTAAACCCTGTAAACCCTAAACCAAAACCCCAAACCCTAAACCCTATAAAACCCGAAGACCAACATGTTCGTATACCAGGCGAGTCCAGGCTTTGGAGGTTTTCCGCCTCGAACATTGGGACTTAGGGTTTAGGGCTTAGGGTTTAGGGTTTAGGGCTTAGGGTTTAGGGTTTAGGGTTTTAGGGCCAGATGTGCTGGGGGTTTTGGGGTTTACTTTCTGTCGGTGAAAGCTAGTGGGGAGTGGAGGAATGAGGTACCCTCAGAGGGTATATATATATATATGTATATAGAAAGGGTACCTCATTCCCTCATTCCCTTCTATCCAACAAAAAGTTTATGTGGCTGAGGGCTCACGGCTCAGGGCTTATGACTGGGTGTCGGGTTTAAGGTTTAGGGTTGAGGGCTCAACCCTAAACCTGGACCCTGCCCTGCAGAACTCCGCACTTTTTGCCCGCAGTTCTCAGCCTTGGGACGCACCAGCAGCCGAGAAATGGCACAGAAGGGCTTCCCATCGACCGCAAGCTCTGCGGGGTTTAGGGTTCAGGGTTGGTCCACGGCCAGCTCTATAGGGTTGAGGGCCCTAAACCCTAAACCCCAAACCCCAAACCCCAAACCCCAAACCCTAAACCCTAAGCCCCGCCACCCTCAGCGACCGCAGCACCTCTTGTTGAACAGCTTGCTCAGAGCTTCTCCTCGAGCCAGCGAAGCCCAACCCTCCAACCCTTAACCCCTAAACCCCCCCTGAACCCCTCTAAACCCCCTCTCAACACCCAAAACCCCCTAAACCCCCTAAACGCCAGGAGAGAAAGGGTTTCGGGTATGGGATGTGGCCTAGGTTGTAGGGTTGAAGCTGTCAAGCGGTTTTACCTAGAGGCTTATACCCTGTCCCCTGCTTAAAGGACACTTATTGGGTTCTTAAGGAGGGGGTTTCATAGGGGGCCCCTTGAAGCCCCCTTCCCTTACGGACCCTACAAGATACCTCCTCTTTTAATGTCTAGGCTGTGCGTATTAAGGAAGTAGGGAACACAAGGTTGGTATAAGCCTTAAACCCTCACACCCCACAACCCTAAGAATCCTAAGCCATACAACGCTTAGGGTTTAGTGTTTAGGGTTTAGGGTTTAGGGTTTAGGGTCTCCAGAGGGTCTAGGGTCTAGTGACGAGGGTCCAGGGTTCAGAGTTTTTGGGGTTTAGGGTTTAGGGTTGAGGGTTAAGGGTTGAGGGACTTCAGGCGCAGCAGGCCCAGGGGCCTTGCCGACCGCGTCCGCCGAAGCCTGGCAACGTGTCGGGCACGCTAACGCCCTTCAGAACCGTTTAGGGCCTGGGGTTTAGGGTTTAAGGGGTCTATTCGGGTTTGGGGTTTAGGGTTGAGGGTTAGGGTATGAGTATATATATATATATACACATACTGAACCTAACTCGAAAGCTCAACCCCTAGAAGTCCGACTAGCCCTGTCTCCTAAACCCTGGATCAAAACCCTAGGCCCGTGGCCACTCCCAGCTGCCTCGCTGCCTCTCTGCCTCACCCGCCGCCACAGCTTCACAGTGCGCGCCGCGCCGCTGGGCCTTCAAAGGCCTGAAGTGTGCTGTAGGTCTTGTAAGGTAGGGTTTAGGGCTTAGAGTTTAGGATTTAGGATTTAGGGTTTAGTGTTTAGGGCCTTGGGGTTTTAGGGTTCAGGGCTGATTGAGCTCAACACCGGACACTAAACCACCAACCCTGAAAGCCTCGTAGGGCCCCTAGACTTCCTCTGATTGCTCCACGCAAGACCCTAAACCCTAAACCCTAAACCCTAAACCCTAAACCCTAAACCCTAAACCCTAGACCCCAAGCCTAAACCCTCAACTCGAACCCTATACCGCACGGCGCAACAACGCGGCAGACTGCTTAGCGGCAAGGCACCGCTCCACTCGAAGCAAGCTTTATGGATATGGGAACATCCTTATACTTAGTTGTCCAGTACCTAGGGGTTTTAAAGGTTAACCTTTGGGATTATAAGGGAAAAATATTAACCCAAAAAGGTTAAAGGTTATCTACTCTACTACTAAGGAGGCCCTAGTAGGGCTTAGGGCTTAGCGTTTAGGGTTTCCCATTAAGGTCTGTTGGCATAAGGGGGAACAGCCCATGTGTATAGTATAGATATTGCGAAAGCGAAGCATGCACGCAGTGTGTGCTCTCACGAGTTTCTTCAGAAAGCCCTTCACTTGAGCCATGCTTGACATATGAACGATTGCCGCCCTTCTCAGAGTCAGGGCCCTTGTTTGACTGAGTCAGCATATCGCTGACGAAGGAGCATCGTGCGGCACGGCGCACTTGAAAAAGTGCGAGTGAGCCAATAGGCTTTTCTTTGTGAGCCCCCCCCATAGGCTGTTCATGGCAGCGGAGCGGCTGAGACCGCTCGTATCGATCTAGGGACCTAGTGAAACGCCATGTCGTCTGAGAGGACAGATCCGTTCAGAGACTTTGGCCTTCAACGGATCTCCTGCGGTGCATTCCGGAGGAAGATCTTGCTGAGTGTGGCTTCTCTGGAGCCAAAGAGTTTACGGTTTGCCGGACCAAAAATCCTGACTCGTCTGGTTGGTGAGGCGTGGCGTGAGCACCTGGCCATCTCTGAAGTGCGTGGAGATGATGGATGGCGGGGGGTGCTAAAGGCTCTTGATCAGCATTACAAGTTTCTGCCTGAGACAGAGCTGAACGAGTGCGTCCCCATAGGCTGTTCAGATATGGTAAGTTCTCCAAATGACAGTCTGCTTTGGGGTTACTACTAGAAGGCGGCCCCTAAAATTTTGGGTACCCCAAAAAAACCATAATTTGGCAAACTGACCGTGTAGGGTTGCCAAAAAAGGGTTTCGGGGGAGCTAAACCAAATAGCAACAACTGCAAACCCTCCACGCCCAACAAACCTTTTCAAACCCTAAGCCCTTCATCAAAACCCTAAACCCTAAACCCTAAACCCTAAACCCTAAACCCTAAACCCTAAACCCTAAACCCTAAACCCTAAACCCTAAACCCTAATGCTCAGCACCTAGAGGCTGATGGAGAACTGATGCTCATCATCATACTCCTCCTCCTGCTCCTCAAGGCGACACAGAGGCCTCAGTTGAAACCAGGAGCCTAAACCCTAAACCCTAAACCCTAAACCCTAAACCCTAAACCCTAAAACCCTAAACCCCTAGACCTTTAGACCTCTAGACCCCTAGACCTTATTACCTGTGACTCCGAAACCCTACAAAACAGTAGGATAGAACCCCCTAAATATAGGGCAGAACTCCCCCCCAAAATAGTAGCCAAGGCAAATGGAGCCCCAGGTAAACCCTAAACCCAAATCTCACTGAACTTCAACCTTAGCAACCTGAATCATATCAAAAGAACCCCCCCCCCCCCACTCAACACAAAGAAGGAAACCCTGAACCCTAACATCTAGAGTGAAAACCCGAAAAACTCGCGCTGAACCGTTGCCCGTGGACGACAGGCGGTCGCCGGTGGGCTGCAAAGTTCGGGCCGTCGTCGCAATCGTGGAGGGTCCTGAATCATCTGGGACTACGCGAATCTCAAGGGCTTAGGGTTTAGGGTTTAGGGTACCCTAATCTAAGGTTACTTACATGGTCCCTTATATACCCGTTATATGCCCTATACAAATTAAAGGCCCATACATCAGAACCTTTAAAGGAGGCAAGGGACCATAGTAAGGGCCCATGAAACTACCCTGAGGGCTAAAACTACCCTTAGACAAGGGCTTAAACCGAACCTAGGGTTTAGGGTTTAGGGTTTAGGGTTTAGGGTTTAGGGTTTAGGGTTTAGGGTTTAGGGTTTAGGGTTTGGGGTTTAGGGTTTAGGGTTTAGGGTTTAGGTTTTAGGGTACAGGGTTTAGGGTTTAGGGTTTAGGTTTTACGGTTTAGGGTTTAGGGACCCTTACCCTGGGTTCCTCAGACCCCTCTACCCCCCCGCCTCGTCCCTGGGCGTCGTCACGAGGCGTGCTCTCTGCGTCGCCCCAGGCCCAGTAGCGCACGGCCTCCTTTCTTCTGCACGAGTTTGGGGTTTAGGATTTAAGGCACCTAAACCCTAAACCCTAAAACCCTAAACCCCTAAACCCCTAAACCCTAAACCCTAGAACCCTAAAACCCTAAACCCTAAAACCCTAAACCCTAAACCCTAAACCCTAACCCCCCCCCCCCTGGCTGCGGGGTGCCCGGAGGCGGTTCTTGGCGGCGCGGGACATCGACCACTCCTCGCTTTGCCCACCCTAGAGCTCAACTCATAGGGTTTATAGGGTTTAGGGTTTAGGGTTTTTATAGGGCTGTTCATAGGTCAGGGTGTTTTGGGTTTTTTTGACTTTCTTAGAGCTCAACTCTTTCCTACTTTTTGCTTACAATCCCCCCCCCCCACCAAAAATGCAAATCCCGGATTCCTATATAGCCTTGCAAGGAAGTATATATTAATGCTCTAGGGTTTGATGTTTGGGGTTTTGGGGCTTTAGGTTTATAAGCTCAGTAGTGTGTTCACAGGGTGTGTAGGGTTGAGAGGGTTGATAGGGCTGACACCCAAACATAGACCCCCCAAATAATAGGATCCCCTTAATTGTCATAAGTACCCCAATAAGGAACCCCGAAAATCGTAAACCCACATGTCACACATCAAGCCATATATATATATATAGACTTTAGAACATGGACGTAGCATACGAGCCGCTGCTCTTGGCAGGATCGTCCAAGGAGCATCAGCTGAGCGCACCTCTG